TAAAACAAATAAAGCACATTTATAATACGGTACTTGTATAAATTATGTGAGATTGTAAATCATTCCGGTAGTATTTTTTTTGTAGGCCTAATATTAACATAATTAGGGATTAACATTAACATTAGGGATTCATTCGGTTCCAAGTTAGGGCCTCGGCCATTACAACTAATTCAAAGGCACAATTGACCTAGCGTGGTAGAATCGCGTGAGAATCGCGTCAACGCAGCTTGTGAAATATGGTCCAAGTACATGATATACAAATGGACGCGGAACGCACAAAATCTGAGACAAACAAAAATTAGTGTACAAAAAACTCCATAGGGTTGTCTAAAGGGCGTGGCTAACTCTCAAACGGCGATAGGTCAATGTATTGGAAATTCCACTTTTAAGTTGAGATTTTGTGGTGCGGCCCTAACATGGCACACTTTCAATTTCTCGCCTCTAGTGCTTCACTACAGCAAAAGTTTTCGTCAAATTTCATAGTAAGTGCAATTTCATTAAGTGCTACACATTGTCCTTCGTACACGTTGAGAGTACCTAGGCCCTACCCGTTACAAAGTAGGGAAAGATTGTATCATCCAGACCCCACTTCTGTGGTTGTGTTCAAAGTCTGTGGAGAGTCGCCATGGTTGAATGCATTTTCAAAGTATTTTCGGTAATCGTGTTTCACAAGTTCCCTTCATAAATCAAAACCCTGCCCTCTTTCCACAAAATTAAGCTAGCTGATATTCAACATGGTATCTTAGCGAACTATCTAGATGATTCCAAAAACATAAAGTGACATTTCAAGCTTGTACCGGTATGATAGCCAGATGTTTAGGTATTAAGTCCCATAACAAGTTTCTTTCTGTACGGAAAGTTCCATATATGTACAAAATGAAAAGGCTTTGGCTACCGTTCTACCGCAGCCGTGATGTGAGTGACACAAGCCATAGTTAGTGCAGCAGTAGTACATCAAACAGTCGTCGGGTGTGCACTTCAGCGCCCAGTTGGCAAGTTTGACCGGTGCGCACCCTGTGCGTGGTAATCAACCGCGCATTGCCATTCCTTTGTATCCAAATTTTGTTTGTACACAAAACCAATGACCACTCTGGCCAGCGATCACACCTTGATCAGCTGTCAGTAATGCCTCCTTTTTCACTGCAATGGACCGATCCAGTAAGCCCCTCCCACTGCACACGTGGGCAAATTAACACGAGCTTCTCTCCAATGCCACACTGCATTTTCCTGCCGCGCCCATCATACGCGCGTGCACGCATGTCGGACTTTTGTGCACGCATGTCGGACATAAATAACGGCTGTGATTGGTCAGAATACCATGGGGCGGTGCTTACTGGATCGGTCCATTGTAGGCTGAATCTTCATCATGGATCATTATTTTCTTCAGGGACCTGGGTAGTGGTTATTCCTGACAAGGTTTGGGTGAGTCTCAAGGGGAATTAGTGTGTCACGGGCACAACATGGCACATTTTGGAATTCAATTTTTAGAGATTCTTGTTGAAAGTTTCCTCCAGCCCTATGGTCTCCGTGCGCCAACAAAAGAGGGGCATTTTTACCTCTGAACTGTACTGGTTCATGCGCAAAGTACGCACGACTTCCTGAATGTGCAAAAGCTATAGCCACTGCGTCTTCGCGTGTGCGTCAGGCGTCGTCGGCGCGCGAATACGTTCGAATTCAACTTGCGTTGGTCTCCGAGATTAATCCCTGCCTCCAATAACTTTGGATACATTCGAAATATGCAGTGGATAGATTGGGAACCAGTCACCCCCAACTCTCCTTTTCTGGCCATTGATGGGGTACTTGTACACGGATTCCATGACAATGGCGATCATGTACATGTATCTAGGGGCCCGGTCCCTATAAGGGAACAAAATCCACTTTTAAATTATTTAACCTGCCAAACTAGTTGGCCACATTAAGAACATTTCCATAGAAGTGCAGGGTTTTGAATTTTTGAGGGAAATGTTGGGGTAAAATGACGATGACAACGACAACGACAACGACAAAACGCAACACGAAAATAAAGATGGCAATCACCGCACGATGTACCGTGAACCCGCAAGGCGCGCTGAATCGCACGGCACAACCACCGTAAACGGCTTAGAAAAATCGTAATTTCTACAACTGTTCAAAAATTACCAAAAAAGTGTGTTTTTGAGAGAAGTCTGCTTTATGTTAAAAAGGTTATTTTTAAGTAATAAAAACCACCCTCGACTCTTATTTGATCGAAACTAAACAGGGGCCCTACACTTCACGATTGCCAATACAACATCCCAATGATAAAATATAGGACTGAGGTAACTAGAACGGTTACTCAACAGCTCAAGCTACGATAGCCCATAGCCCCACTGCACTCGATGTAGGGAGTCCGGCGAATTTCATTTTTTAGCGAAAAAAATATCATGTTTTGTATCACTGAAAAGAGAATTACACAACAAAATCAATGACGTTTGAATCAGCTTCATAGGTGTTTGTATTTTGAAAATACAACAATTTAAATGGCTGAATTTGGAGTTTCAATTCAGTAAGATTTACTACTTTACATTATAAAGCATCTTTTATAAATTTCTTATTTTCCGAACCTATCAAAATGTTTGGTATCATATGAATGCCCATTTAAAATAAACATAAAGTTGATTTTTGAATCAGGTTTTTACCATTCATAACAAAAAAGTTACATTTTTTTGCCTGGACCTTCGCACTGTCCACTGGAGTGGGATCGGCCATTGCCAGACTTTGTCTGGCACGTGGTATTTATAACAGGGATAATTCGTGGAGTCGTAGACACATATTCTGTGTGCTGCGTTGTGTGGATTGGGATCGGAAATACTTTACCGTTACGCACGGGCAAAACTCCACACAACACATCAACACGGAACAAATTGCGTGCACGCGTTATTACTGTTACCGTGTGCCAGACTACATGCAAGTCTGGCACCAATGCCATCAGCGTACAATAACATGCAGTAGTAGACTAGTCTGGATGCAATGGCGTCTCGCCGTTGTACAAAATTCTCTTGTTTCGCCTCTGGGCAATTGTGTATCTACGGGCCAGGGAACAAAATCCACTTTTGAATTAGTTGACCTGCCAAACTAGTTGACGACATTAAGAACATACAGGTATGTCATAGATTTAAATAAAGGGTTAGGTTTTCAAATTTTGAGGGAAATTTCGGGGGAAAATGACGATGACAACAGAACGCAACACAAAAATAAAGATGGCGATTACCGCGCCATGTACATGTACTGTGAGCATACAAGTCACTCTGCACGGCACCAACCGGCACGTAAACCGCGTTAAAAAAACGTAATTTCTACCCCCAAAAAAATGTTCAAAAATTACCAAAAAGGTGTCATTACATTGAGAGAAGTCTGCCTTAGCCCTCCTTGGCCTCCTACTATTTAAGACGTCACCAATGGTCAAAATGTTTGTATCTCACCTCCTGGCATACTGTGTACAAACCAATGGGGGTCTTGACCAATATTGACCCAAGTAATAACCAGGCTGACAATGCATGTTTCCATAGGAGGGTTAGGTTGACAATGTCATTTTTCAGTAATAAAAAAATCTTGATCGCCCGCCTCTGTACCCCGACCTTTAAAAATGCTTTGCGGAAAGGTGTGGAAAGCTTTTAGTTTTAATCATTTCTTTTTATACCACTGTTTTAATAAAAGTCTGAACTTTCTGGGTACAAGTGTACCATGCAGTACGTACCTTTTTTATTTATAAAGATATGATCAAAACAGTTCGATTTATCAAGAAGATTTTAATTTTACACGGTGGTTTAAGTGAAAGTGCTGGCTCACGCGGTAATGTTTGTGGCATCTGTCGATATGAAAAGTGCGAGTTCTCAATAAGAATTCATTTTTTTCCATCCAAATGAATGCAAAGTTCTGAATAAATGTTTTTGATGATAGGAGTCAGCATTTCTCTTGGTATCAGGTAGACCCGTGAACGTGGCGTTGTATACAACGCCACGTTGTTGTGTATTTTAAAACCTAGCAAAATCGATCCGACATACATAATTCCGTATGGGTGTTGAGTACTCACCTAGAAATCTAAATTTGCCCGTCCGATTATTTAGGCTGTGTAATTTCGACGAAATTTGCCCATCAGTAAAGACCCATATGAACGTGTAGAAATTTCATTTTAACCCGACAAGTGACCCTGACAAATGACCCCGGACGAGTCGCTTGGACAGATTGACGGCTGTTTCATGTCGCAACCCCGAAAAAAAAACCCGCACCCGATTGGCTGCTCGGCTCATCTCGTGTACGTGTGCGCACACGCACGTGGGCACACGCACGTGGGCACACGTGCACCCGCGTGCGGTGCGGTGAGAGAGGAAAGGACTTGAAACTTGTCTAAAACGATGTCTCTTTTAGCTGCGACAGTAAACAGCCGTCGAATTATACGAAGGACAGTACAATAAAACTCAATGCGCATGCGTCACTTGGGAGAAAATGGCAGCTAGCACTGAGCAGGACTTCATAAACCGACTTCTTCAAATTTCGTCAAATGCAAGTTTTGATGTACAAACAGATTTCAATACAGCTTCATATGGATTGTGAGTACTTATTACATTTACAAAATAACGTCCAGTGTGTGTAATGGAGGGAGTCAGAGGGACAATTTCGCCAGGTTCTGAAATACACAACAGCGTGGCGTAGTTTACAAGCCACGTTCACGGGTCTAGGTCAGGATACTTTTTGTATTTTTAGAGTCATGTTGATACTTTATTACTTATTATCACGGTTTTAAATTGACTAATTTTGCGTATAGGTCCCAAACCGCTGGACTCTCTGTGGCCAGGCGCCAATGCCACTGCACTAAACCATGGAGCATGTTGCTATTTATTGATAAACCAAACGTCTTAAGCTAACCAACTCCGTGGCCGTGCTTCAGCATGTTCAGCGCATGTTGCGTGGCGTAGGTGCTCAAATCGCACACAAACATAACAAATTTCATACAAACATGACGAAATAACACTTTTACTTACTGCAAATACCAATGATTGTTGACAATCCTGTTGCATCAAAATCAACAGAGAGGAAATTGTGTGTGTTCCAAATCCAGTGTTGTAAACACATCAGTATCACGCATTTCGTGGGCGGCGTGTAATGTTGTGATACCGAGATGACGTCATATGGGACATGGACAACAGCCAATTAATTATTATCACGGGCCCACAAGAGGGCGCTATTGAAGATAAATGGCACCGCGTTGACGAGCCTTGTCGTTTCATTTTTTTTTTACCAATTTGGTTAAATAATTGGCCTGATGGCTCTAAAACAAGAACTCACCTCAACATTTCTACTTGTGCGAAATGCCAACTATAAGATCACTTATAAAGCATGTAGGCCTATAATTAAATGGTCGAGGTATCTCATCTCAATAGACCTTATACGTTAAGGCGGAGCCAGAGGGCAGTAGTTTTGTATTAACTTTATAATTAAGTAAACCATTGATGCATCCATTGCACCCCACTCTTGCCTTTTTTAAGCGCCTCTACAGGAACCTGACACTTTAATATTATATGGTACGTGTATGTCTTGTTTTTGTCTTTTTCAGGCCAATGAATTGTAACAACCGTGATTAACCTTGTCTCATTCTACTGCTTATTAATCTTCTTAATTTTATTTTTGTAATGCTTTTATTGTTTGTTTTCTATTTTTATACTATCGCATAATGTTGTAACTGCCGGGCACCTTTGAAAAACAGTGTTCCACTGAAAGGTCTCCCCAGGATAAACAATAAATAAATAAATAAATAAATAATATGATTTCTTCTTTTTCTTTTCTTTTTAAAATCCATTCATTGTTAGGCCTATTTTTATATGTTGATTCCCAGTTTCAAATAAATCTATTCTATCGATCATACTTCAGGTCCAGGGTCAGGGGCGGATCCAGGAATTCATGTTTGCAGGGGGGTCAGGCCCGTCAAAATGTTGTTTATGTCCGAATGTTACGGCCAGGCGGACATAAAGGTAATGCAGCACATTGTTTCTTATAATTTGTTTTGTGCCAGAGCGGGGGGGGGGGGGGGGGTCGACCCCGGAAATGCACCCCCACCCCGGGTCCGCCCCTGAGGGTAGTGGATCTAGGCCTACCCTTCGTGTGAATCCCACCCATCGGTGTTAACCTTACTATCGCGCTGGTGTGAAGAGGAGGAACAGCATGTTACTATTTAATAAGATTACCATGGTTACCCCTTACTGACAATTATGTTACTGTCAACATTATGCTATAGGCTTAATACTTTGTGATGCACTAGAAATTTTCTCCATTCACCGTTAAAACATAGGCCGTACCATCGTTTTCTTGAGTTGTTGATGAGGTATTGATTATTATTTTAAATTGCCATAAACTGTGATATTACGTTTTAACCAAATTTGTCGAATGATAAAGAGTAACAACGAAATTCTTTAAAGTCAAGTTCTGATTTTTCGAATTTGCAAAGGCCGCGCGTCCGGGAATTTTTTGAAGACAAAATGTTGCACTATAGATAGAAAACACGGATGATTATAGCTGGATTTCAGCACTCACAAAAAATTAATCGTATAGCCTAGCTGATGAAACGACACAACAATGTCCACCGCTTGACTGTATTGTTTTCTTGAAAATCAGTTCAGTCTTCAGACGGTATTATACAGGGGCTTTTGGCAGATAAATTTACGTGTGCCGTCACATCTGAAATCGTTCCAATAGTAAGGTGAAAAGCCGACGCAATCTTCCAACCCCATGTAATTGTTGGGTTCACCAGGTATAAATTTGTCAAAGTTCTCCATGCCAACTTGCGGGTCGCCTACCCACTTCAATTCTCCCTCCTGTATGATATCATTGAGCCCAATCCAGGTTAATATATGTGCAGGGACATGGGGCTGCAACAGGTTAGCGAGCGCCGCGTTATCCGCGGCGTCCAGGATCTTGATAAGATAGGAGCCTCGGCCGATTCGCCGGCAGATTGCCTCAGCCTCCGGCCAAGTCTTCTCGACCTCCAGGAACATCTTATGGAAAGAGGGGAGAAGTGGAAAGGTGTAAAAAGATTAGAAGATAGAACAAGAACGAATGACCCTTTTTTCACTTAAGGAAGTAATAAACGGTAGCTTTGAATATTACATCATGGGGCGGCGATCCCATAATTGCTGGGGCGTGCTAATGGTGATATCCCCTTAGGCCTAATCTCCAGTGCGCATAGATTTTGTTTACAACATTTGCTAATGACTCTATTGTTCCTCTAAACCACCTATTCAAAGCAACGTCATCAGTAGGCCTACATACTATACACTCTTATTTCCAATATTTAAAGATTCACCCTTTTCATAATCATGTGACATTTCACTCCCACCGACTGAAACTATACAGGGACAGGGGCGCAAATCCTGAGGGTGGGTTGGGTTGGGGGGGGGGGGGGGGGGGGGGGGCGGGGGGGGGGGGGGGGGGTATATCCCACCCCACTTTTTGACCAGGGGGCCTGAATCATCCCCCCCACACACACACATACACACTTTTCGTGATGAGAAAAAAAAATGCGGATTGAGGTATTTTTCGAACATCAACAACCAAAACGTATTCAATAGCATTAAAAGTGGAGAAATAAAGTACAAAAGCTGTGGTGTCCATCCCTAGCCCCCCCCCCCCTTCCCCGCTTTTCGAATTTCCACAGCCGGGCAATTTTTGGATTTTGGTCATCCCGACCCCCCCCCCCCCCCCAACTCGCCGGCACAGATTTACGCCACTGCACAGGAGGTTTAGGGACCAGCCTGCCTCTTCTTTTCAGATTATTTCAATCCAAAGTAGAGTTAAACTTATTAACGCTCTAAATCGTCTAGTCCCCATAGTTTCACCCGGGTGGAACGGGTGGCCTGCCCCTCCCCATCCCCCCCCCCCCCCCCGGCTTCTTGAGTTTTGGGGAAATGGGCAGCATGACCAAAGCCTTGAAGGGTTCATTAAATATATTTTTGTAAGGAACATAATTATTTTGCGCAACTTTCTACTCTTCTTATGTATATGAAAACAATTTGACATCCATTTTTGGTTAAAATACGTGCTTTGGCACATGCAAAATGATTTTCAAATTGAATTGATAATTTTCCAGTATTAGGCTACATTACTTATGAGCTTTCCAATGAGACATCGAACGAAAAAATCTGCCCATGAAAAGTAATCAATGAATCAATTTTAACTTTTGAATTGTAACTTAGCGGGACGTTCCTAAAACGTTCCTGATGTGCGCAATTTCTTAACTGGAGCGCGCCATTTAAAACCAATTTTTAAAACTCTAAGGCCTGCAAATAGAAACAAGCAAAATGTATTTGTTATAGGACATTACCAATTCCTATAGATATCGTTCGGAAAAGAAAATCAAAATTTGAAAAAAGCACCTTTTAGAAACTTTAAACATTTCAAATCGTCCATGTTTTTCTGGACAACTATTAAGGGCACTGTTGCTGTGGCGTCATTTCGGGGAGAAAGTGTTCAGTTTAAGGTTTTTCTGTTCAAATTGTGAACCCAAAACTTTGCTCATTGAAAACATCCATGAAAAAAAATTGCCCTCTGGCTTATGACTCCATGTACTGACACAACAACGAATCAACAAAGAACATATTAAATTTACGACAGCAAAATATGAAATTCTGACAACTTTTGGTACTGAAATAGCTGTAACATTGAGGTTTCTGCTCACACTTTTGCTCATGAATATGGAAATTGCATAAAAATCCACAAAGGCACCAAAATACCCTTGAAATGGCAAAACAAAAATTGAAAATGAGGTTAAAAGGATTTTTATTTTCAAAAAATTATTGCATGGGCCCTTCAATAACAATAAATTTCCGTTACGAGTATTTTGGTTTTACCTTAACGCAGGAATGATCTCGGAATTTCACCCATCCATCTGGACACTCTCCGACTGTGCAACGAAGCTCCGATCTCTGTCCGAGACACATCATGATGGTCAAATACAGTAACCATTTCCTTTTCATGATTATCATGGTGATCTATATCGCAGATTGCTTGAAATTCCTCAGCAAAATAATAAGACTGTGAAGCGAAATTGTCGGTCCGTTATAAAAACGGACGTTCTGCTGGATACTGGCCACTTGCAGATACAGCGAGTTTAAATTTAAGCGAATTAAGCCGAGGTAGCCCGAGTGCTAGGTGTAATAAACCTATAACCCGAATAGTAACCATGAAGGTCTATACAATACCGTCTGTTTTAATGACGAGCTGTAATTATCATTCAATGCTTCTGTTCGATAGCCAGTCGGGTCTTTGGTTGAAAATTGTGAGAATCAATTGATTTTGTTGTTATTATCATAAAGATTTTCCCTCCAAAATTACGGTTATAATATCTCAATTGTGTGAAAGATAATTAAGAAAGCACGTTCTTCTCGGTCAAGGATGCAGGTGCGCATGCAATAGACCGAAATCACACGTTATTGAAAACAAACCGAAAATCTCATTTAGTAAAAAAAACTCCGAGACTTACCTTTTATGAAAAGACTTTAGGTCGAATCATCTGATTGAGCATTCTCTTCACGGGGAGTTCACTTCGAAGGTGAAACCTCAGTATAAAAAGAAATCATGTACTTTCGAACCAGGGGCGGCGGAACGCTTTTCAAATGGGGGGGGGGGGGGGGGGGAACATCAAAAAGGTGCTCTTGCTCAGAAAAAAGGGACACCTTCTGTCGGTGTGAAAGTGGAGGAAAAGAATATGGTCCCGTTTATTTCGCTATAAACCTATATGACAAAGAACAAAATTATGAATACGTTGTCCATCTTGCTCTTTGTGTTTTTTTATGGAGAGACCATTTTTTTTTATCGCGAGGCCAGTTTTCCGGCTTGAGAGGGGGCACAATTTTAATGTTGCGGGCGGGGCACTATAATTGTGCTTTCGAGGGGCAGTTTTCCATCTCGAGAAGTTATAACGAGAGGAGCACTATTGTTTTTGATGGTCAATTTTTCCATCTCGAGAGGGGCACAATTTTATTATTGCGAGAGGGGTATTTGTGCTTTCGAAAGGTAGTTTTCTATCTCGAGAAGGTGCACAATCTTGTTAATGCGAGAGGGGTGTTTTGAGGGGCAGTGTTTGCATTACAAGAGAGGAGACAAGTGTAGCGCGATAGTTTTTTAGTTCACTCGTGTGCGTTGAGGGGCAGTTTTGTTTTCATCTCGAGGCCGGGGCACATTTATAACCGCCGGAGAGGGGCACTTTTGTTGGCCTGTGAAAATCTGGGGGGCAAGTGCCCCCTGCCCCCCCCCCCCCCCCCCCCACCGGTTCCGGCGCCCCTGTTTCGAACAATACAAAATACAACTAATTTTAAACAATTAAAATCATACAACAGCCAAGACCGAACAAAATCACCGCGATGCTGATCACAGGGGGTCGATCGCGCTGACATTTTCTGTCTCAGTTTTAAGTCTAACGGGAATTTCTTAATGCCAGCTGTTGTATTGCAATGAAGATAACCAACAACAATGGAGGAACATCAGGATTCCAAAAAAGAAAACGACAACTTCTCAGTTGACCAAGTACCACATGCAAGTCTCCAACAGGTAGTCGGCAATTTGGTTAAATTCGGCAATTTGGGTTGGAGGTCGGCCGTCGCTTTTTTCAAGTTTAATTTTTTACACCAAACTCAAGAAAGAAACAATCATCGGTCAGTCGACCACAGTTATATATATTTTTTCGTTTAGCTAGTTAGGCTAGCAATTCACCATGGCTTGAATTTGAAAGTAAGATTCCACCATGAAAGTTTAACAGCGCCCTCTATAAAAGAGTTGTTTGCACCTGTAAGAAAGTGACAAGTTTTCTGTTCGGTTCGACTGTACTACATTAGTTTGTATTGGTGTAACATTGACAAGACGCCGTCGTCCCGCCGGGCTCACGAGCAAGTGGTTGTTGGAAAAGTCGGTTGCATACTCGAAGAATTCTCTATGGAGGTAAGAAAATTGACTTTTTGGACACTGCTAATTCAGTTTGACCCTTACAGTAGGCCTACTTTTGGGAAAATCTTATCTCCGTTTTCGGATGTGGATTAAGATCGATACTGTGATTGTGAAAGTAAACAAGTTGAAGGCCCGTAGCGTTGGTTTGTACGGAAGACGCTGTTATAGTAGCTTGCGGGCGAGGGGCGGGTGTTACGCGGTGGGCAGCCCCATGATTCTCCGTCGTAAGCAGCCACGGGTTGGAAGTAATCCGTACTCGTACTGGGAAAGTCATAGGCCTAATTTATGTGCTAGACCGAACACTTATTTTAACTGGACGAAGTATTGCCAAGATTTCACTTTAGTAATTCCATGTACGTAGATCAGTGCATGTTTATATTACAAAAAAGAAGGATCTAAGTTTTAGTTTCGTTGAAAACTTTATCACGACACTAGTGTGACCACTGTGTATTTTTCTACATAAAAATCTAGATGTTCCTCCTCCCCTGGAACAACTTGGAAGGCACTATACGATGTAGGCTTTAATAAAGACTGCTTGTTGTGTTTGTGGAAAAGCTTTGTGACATTTGATATCCAAATTAATTCTTAATCTTTCATTTGATTTCTATTTCTATCAACGAGTGACATTTAAAAAAAAAACTTCAAACAGTGGATAAATAAATATGTGGTTAAGTTACAAAAAAGATATCTTTTGAACACCCAACGTATTGCTACAATGTATAATATGAATAAGTAGAAGTTATTTTTGTTTATTTTGTTCAACATTTTTCTTGAAATAAGCTGTAAATACCTCCACATTGAACTTGTTTGTATAAACTTTGATAAATTGATGTTTCACATATTTGGCCAACAGTTGGTTCAGGTCTCAAGTTCTTGGAGAATGATGTGCGGTCCCATCTAGTCAATCAGGGATTCAAAGGACTGGTTCATTGATAACAGACTCATTTGAAAGAAAGAAAACGAAACAAAGATGGCCCCGGCACATGGATACACCTTGGGCCTCTTAGTGTCCTTGTTAGTTGCGACACTTTCAACAGCAAGGGAGTCTTCCAACGATGGTGCTTTCAAAATTGGTGAGTACTATACTACATACATATTTTGTGTTTTGGGACAGGTTGACCATGCATTTTTCTTAAAGGCATATAAAAATAATATCATATGCTTTTCATGCATTTTGTTCATTTCCAATATTAACACCAAAGAAGAATGGTCAAAACCTAGCCTGTTGAACTTTCAGTTCATTTGCCCTTTTTGAGAAAACAGTGAAAAACCATGCACAACCTTTTGATCACGAAACATGATTCCGTCTACAGCACTCTTCCAAAAATCAGTCAATTGACTGATCGTTGGAAATCTCCTACATTTCTCTCGTTCTTTTAAAGGACAGCAAACCAGACAGAATAATTTCACGGGGGAATTTAATCCAAGTAGGCCCTAAACTTTTTGATACTTTTGGGTTAAATGCAATTTAGGATCCTGTATGCCCATTATGCCTTTAAGCCAGTGCAAGTTTACATACATCATTTATGGAACTGAAGGCAGTGAAGATGACAGTATAACTATGCAAACATGCAATCCACTCCATAGAACTAGCCTTGTTAACTTGCACCTGTTTACAAATTGAAAACTTCCTGTGTACAATTGAACTGTCCTTGCGTCTTTGTTGCATGGTTTAGGTGCATTATGATTAACTCTTTTGAATTAGAAAAGGAACCTGTGGAATTTTCCCATAAGAAGCCCTTAGTGTAGAGTTAAGTGGTAACCCTATGGCACCGTGGCAAATACTCTTAGGCCAAGAAAAAAAATGAAGACCTTTGTTTCAGGTTACCCCAAACAACCTACGTTCTGCAAAATCATGCAGAACCTATATTTTTGTTTAAAAAAGAAAAGAAAAAAATGAATACAAAAAATAGATAAACAAATTAAAAATAAATTTTTCAGGATATCATCATACATTTTTTGTTATTTTAATTTTGTGTCAGTTGGTCGGCAATGTGGTCTTGCCAAGCCGTGCAGTGATGCCTCTAAACAGTGTAGGAATTGCAGAAGGAATATTTGATTCACATGTTAACTGTTGTGAATGCACCTGGAAATATTTATAATAATGATAAAAACTTAATCGACCATCATCCTGCCCTGTTTGTTAAATGGCTATAAACATTTAAAGTAACAACAACAAAAATCCACCTTTTTTCTAGTCTGAGTATCACCCGTTGTCACGGAGTCCTGTCTCCGGTCCAATGTCTGTTATCTAAGCATGCAGACTTATGCCACCACGCACGCCAGCCGATTGGAGTCGACTTTACTAATCATGACGTGTCATTTAATTCCAAAATCAGGACTAGGTTTTTGGTTGGTCGATTCGATGCAGTGTTTTGTAATAGAACAACTGCCGGGCGCGAATAGATCTACAAAACCTAGACACAAACGTGATTGGCCGGTTCTATTATGGCTTGGCGTATCTCGTAACAATCTTTACACAGCTTGTGACCCCAGACTTTTTTTCTTAATTCACAACGTAACCAAAAATATTAGGTGTCTAGGTTTTCCATAACGAGTCCCGATATAGAAAGTGCCCGCTGAATGGTCAGAATGTTGTTGCATAATTAATCGCCGAATCAGCTCACGTAATATCTTAGACCCTTGCATCGCAAGAGACTATTACATTTTTCCCCAGGAGAAAAAACATCATTTTTTCTTGGCCTGAACAAACTTTGTCAGCAAGCCCATGTACCGGTATATAAACTAATAATGCTAGTGTTGTATGCTCTTGAAGCAAATTGTTGTGTTGTGTTTGGATGTATGCGAGGATTACAATCAGCCTGCAAAAGGCCACCATTCACAATCATGGACTCACCCCACAACTTGCAATAGTGTTAGTGAAAACGTTGAATTGCCATAGGCTTTGTACCTTACTTTACCACAGCATTAAGATGATCTTCAAATTTACAATGAGCAGGCATGCATGGCTGTGGTTTGTAAAGCACAACAGAAAATCCTCTGGTCAATAATGTGATTGTGTCAAGTGCCCCCCAATGAAAACATGTTATTGTTACTAGGTATACATGTAGGTGTATTTATGCATCAGCTCACACTGGAAACTCACGGTCAATATTTTTTCTATTTCCCTTGTTTGTCCATCACTGAGCATTTATCATTGAAATAACTCATTATCATTTAGGGACTACCAGTGTGAGGACCCAGTCTTCACTGTGTGATAATGACCAGGTTGGGGGATGGGCGCTTAATGGACCAAGCTGAAGGTCGATATTTCCAGACTTTTTGTGTTCATGTTCAGGGTTCGAAATTAGCGGTAGCCCGCTAGCCAATTGCTAGTCAAAACAGCGGCAGGCTAGTCAAACTATTTCTTAACCAGCCTGGCTGGCGAGTGAAAAATTATTGGGATACGGCAAAGATGAACATACAAGAAGAAATAAATCATTAAATTCAGAAAGAAAACCCCATCAATTTGTGTCTAATTTTATCAACTGTTTTAAAGGGTTAAATTATTAGATCTGTTAATCAAAAACAGTGACAAAATTGCCTCAGAATTGAGCCTGAAAATACACCATTTTGTATTTGAGATCAGAAAAAAATACGTGCTTGTGAAAATGCCCACTGGCTAGTTAAGAGTCCGTTTCAGTAGCCCGGCTGGCTAGTGAACAAACAAGTTAAGGTCGAACCCTGATGTTGAGGGGCCACATTTTTAGCTTATGCCTGTGATATGCTACCCTGTCTCTTCAATGCGTTATTCATCTTCATTGCATTGCAACTTACGTCCAGGGTATGAACTTCTGCTACTGTAGCAAAACTATTTACAACAAATTGTTTTTGGATTTTTACCTGACGGAGGAAGCTGCAATTTCATTTACATATTCCTTGTGTCCAGAATTATACAAAGGTGCTCAGCAGATCCACGCTTGTGTCATAAACATCCTCAGTGCGAACATGTCCTGTGAAGACCAATTCTGTGCGCTCATAGCAGCTGTGTTGCATACACTCGCGTATGCTGCTGTGTTGTTACACAGCTACCGTAGGACTGTTGTAAATTTGGCCACTCATTGGCTTACATGATGCTGGATTAACGCTGGTTCAGGGGCCATTTATCACATGCACCCCCACGTACTTGAATCTCGACCAATCAGAAGCTATCAACTCTCCAAAGTATTTATTAACATTAAATTAACGGTATTCGACTGTGCTCAGTATTTCTTTTGGAATAAAACATTTCTCCCTTTCTTTGTGTTCTAGACATGCTGCAAGTCTTCAGAAGTGGGGAAACAATTAAAGGAGTTTCAGATGCGCTAGGTTCGCACGTCGGAACACTCTCATACAGAGTACGTCCTTCACTTCCCATACTCACACTGCCTGCCAGTGCTGTGCAAGAACTTCGCAGTCATGACAGTAATGCTTTAAGTCTAATCATCACAGCCAAGCAAGTCTACGAGAGTGCGGGGACGCTCCTAACAATAACGACCGCGGACAACAGTCCATGGCTCATGCTCAGTACCAACCTGAGAACTGGCCTCATGCGATTGAAATACCGCAACGTTAACGAGAACGCCCTGAGAGAAGTGTTAACCTCGTCCCCGTTCGTTGAGACGGACTTGCAGGAATGGGCACAGGTCGGGATCGTACTGTCGGGTACGAGTATGAAAATTTACGAAGGGTGTACAGGAGTGAAGGAGGTGCTGTTGGAAGAGGGCGCTATAAATCTGAGGCTGCCTGAGGAATCAGTCGTCTACGTTGTGCAGGGGTTGAAAGGCAAGAATAAATTCAGTGTAAGTTTTCTGTCATTCCCCCCCCCCCCCCCTTTTAGGCGGCTTATTTTGTCCTCTTATGTTTGGTTTTATTTTAAGCCATGTATTTAGTTTGTTGCAAATAGGCTTTTGATAGTTGAGACTACCTTTCCCTTTCGTTCTTGACGCTGACAAGTTCTTAACCTCTCATAGATGTTATTCAGTGATGCTTTAATTATAAGGGCTGAATGAACTTGAAATGCATCCATTGTACAGTGTTTGTATGCAGTGTTCATAAGGTAGCTCAAAATCGGGACATTGATATTTGTACTTTTTGAAGAAAAAAAAAACATTTCAAACTACCGGTATGTACATGTGGTAACTTCAGTATGATGTTGCAGTTATGTGAATGTTGCAGAATCAGCCTAAGGAAAAAAAAACAACTTATATTCGGTGAGCACAAATTTCTTAATTATAGAATTGAAAATGCAAGTGAAACCCTTCATATTATAATATCGTGTAACAAATTACAAACTTTGACAAAAAGAAACTAAGTAGGAAAACTCTCATAATTTTGCTAATTCTCTGTTGCATTTAAAATTTAAACCTCATTTCATTATTCAGCAACTGAAATCTCAGTTCGCTATAACAAAAATCCAAACAATTGAACAAAACCACAATGTAAAAAAATGTATCTTACTCCAAACCTTGTTTCCATTTTAATTTTTTTTTGAAATTACGAGTTAGTGATATGTTTGTAATTTACCTGTTTAACTTGTCTAACAAAGCATTAATTAACAGCACCTTTGGTATACTCGATCACTTCCCAGGAACATCAAGTTATACTTTTTAATATAGTGGCAAAACACTTGTTGTGCAAATTTGTACATAACTTATTGTGTTTGGTCTTTTATATATTCTGATGGGGTAAGGTCACTGTTCAGTTCTTCCACATGATTGAACTCTCACTGGAGCAGAAAATGTTGGTCCATCATTTAGTAATACTTTGTTAAATTGTTGCTGAACATTTACTAAGTTCCCATTTTTTACAATTTCCAAACACATCAATAATTTCTTTATGCTATTTGTCAATGTTGTATCGCTGTTTCATTATTGATATATAATTGATATACGGATGCAGCAGTGTTGTTTTCTCAAGGGATGTATACCACCCCCAATTCTGTGACCCTCCATTGTGCCCTGTGGGAGACCTCAGCCCAGTAAGAACCCTGGCCCTGTTAAGAAAATAAACAAGGACTGTCCTGTGCTCAGTGAAAACTAACAGCTTAAAGTTTTATGCAGCCAGGGAACCATGATCTTGATTACACCATGGAGCTAGGAACACACACCAAGGACCCTATCCATCTTCTGGTGAAGGTTGATGGACTTTTAAAAAAAAGTTTGCCTAATGTCTGGAGTTTTGCTACCCTAACTAAACACAACTACTTTTTATAGCTCCATGTTTCTAGCATGTGATCTGCTGGGTGGAAATGAGTCAGATGAGGCAGATCCTATTTGAAAGAGCATTAATTAATTAAATTTCAGGCTTGTAGTTAGTTTGTTGGTGTTGAACTAGCTTGGGATGTGTACATTAAGTTCTCAACATTTCAACCTTTGTCATGATTCCGGTATCTTCTCGTTTGGGAGAGATTTTGCTTTCAACAAGCTTTAAATTAAAAAAACCCATAGAACTTAGAAGTCTTACCTTAATGAACCAAAGTTTGCAACTAATGTAAATTTAACTCTTTTTGTATGGTGACCTGCATGTGGGCAGAAATTGCACAATCTAGAGACACATAACCCTACATTGTATGTATTGTACATTGGGCATTGTTTTGATCTGAAAATGCAATTAATTCTGTACTCTAAAAAGAGTCCATTTTGAAGAGTTGCAAGAGGTTGTAAAACCATGAAAAACAGCAAGAGGCAAAATGAACCAACATAAATATATACGGCGTCAACTGTATTCCACACACACTTTCCTACTTTAGCATTCTTTATTTTTTACTTTGCTCCTACTTTTACTACTTTTTTTCTTGAAATTTCTACTTTTTTCTAATTTTTTGCCTGTTTTTTTTAATGTCCTGGGCACAACTCTGAAAATTGGAATCTCATTGAATATTTGTCATAACAGTGTTTTACACACTGTCATGTAAATCATGGGCTTGGGTTCAGGAGTACTGCAACTGTACTTCCAAGAGCTTAGTTGAGGATGGAGCACAAGTGTTGTGAGTACAAAACATGCCAAATGAGGCTTATGATGCTGTGGACATGGGCGAGTATCAACGAAAACTACCCCTGAAAGCCCGCAAAAATCCTATTTTTATCCTGATTTTGTCATCCAAAGTCCTAATTTTGTCCCGTTTCTCCTACTTTTTCACCTGGGTCTGCTTAAAGGCCGCTGCCAAATCTTATGGTAATTTGCACAAAAACAAAGTTGGTGGTCCCTTTGATTACACAATTCCAAATAAATGTTCCTTTATTTATTTAACAGGGTTGGATAGAAGAATTCTGGCTGTATCCGTCAGAATTAACTACGATGCCATGGACTTGTCCTGATATTGAAGGTACTTATAATAATTCCAACAATTGTAATATGTTTTCTAGATGTTCTTATGAAACTCGACTTTTTGAGAAATGAAATTGACTTTAGTTGAAACTCTAAGAATTATTTAAGTCGCATTTTATCCTCTGATTTTTTTTCTTGAATAAATATATACATGTAAGACACATTTTTGATTTCAGATTGGGCAGCTAATTTTGTTTCACACTCTTGAAATGAAAAAAGTTTTGAAAGGAGACACTTTTTGACTTGAAATCAGAGCTTTTTTGATCGATCTGTTTTGCTGATTAGTGATTTTGTCAGATACGTTAAAAAAAAGCTTTGAATTGCTGAAAATGTTGCATGGTGCACGCCTTGTTGGCACCCCAAGTCTGATGTGTGACACATACTAGGTGTGTCTAGATCCAACTTTAGATCACGGATGTAATAAGGAGTTACTTTTGTGTAAACTAAACAGTTGTGTGTGCAAGGGCATACATATATACTGGGGGGAGTGGGGGCTGGGTTGGGAGGATGTACATTTCCTTTTCTCTTTTTTTCCCCTCCCCCCTCAACTTCCCCATCCTAAAAAAAGGGGAAAAAACTCGTTGAGAAAAAGAAATAAGGAAATCTATGAGAAAGTCTTTGCAAAAATAAAAGTATGCAGGCATTTAACCATAAGATCGCATATGCCATAAAAATTATCCAGGTAGATGGGTAGGAATATAATTTCATTTTGTAACTTTTTATGTTTGTCTGTCAGTATTTTATACTCACTTTCTTTACATTAGGATACCTTTAATGGTAGTCTGTGTAATTAACCTGTTTCATTGTTTAATTAACAGATACAGCAAAAGCTGGCATGTAGAAGATATTTGATGTTTTCAAAATATATTTAAAAAAATATTTTGGCCAAATGTAGATGTAATGAGCTTGAGGTGAGCAATTTGGTTGCAAAAAATCCACATACATTAAAGGTTAGGTTGCTGTTAACAAATTTTTTTCCAGCTGTTCCCTCCCCCCAATAAAAACAACAAATAAAGTGAGACAAAGAAATACGGAAATCTATGAGAAAGTCTTGGAAAGTCTATGAGTAAGTCTTTGAAAAATACCATATGCATGCATTTAACCATGACATGAATGTAATAAAAACCAGAGTGGGGTTAATACCTCAGTTTGAATAAAACAAATCAGACTTTTCAAAATGGAATCCCCCCATTAATAAGTCTTACACTATGTATATGCACGTAGTTTGATTAGGCAATAGTGTTTTCGCAGCCCCTGTTTGTATAGGAAGCCATTATTTTCATTCCAATGAGCAATGGGTTGAAGGAGAGTTTGTCATATGATGTCTAGCCACACATGTCTGGCTGTATCTGTGATGTCAGTGACTCGTAATTCATTTGGAGGAAGTTCACCTTCCTTTGCCCAACTTGCTGCCCCTGGTAATAAAGACGCTGAACAAGAAAACTATTATAATCACATTGAACCCTTTGCCCCCAAATCCCCGCATTATTGGATCTGAGAAGGTCAATGCGACCCTGCTGTCACCCAAGTAGTGAAGTCACAAGAACAGCCTTCTTCCTTCTTTTGGGTGAAAATAAAGCAGAAAAATGTTTACAAACCGAAGATTGTCAACAAGTGCTGTGGCTTTTTATGCACAAAAGTGTACTGTGGTTGATCAAATTGAGGCTCTACAACAAAACCTAGTGCCAAAAAGTGACATAATGGTCACAGAAGATGAACTTAAACAAAAAAGGTTTGACACGATGAACTATTGTAGAAGGTTTTTATCTGAATTCAAATTTCTGTCACTACATGTACAGTGATACTAATATTAATGATAACTATGACTAAGCATGCTACTTTTTGTTCTGGAAAATATGGTAAAGGTTTGAAAAATGACAATTCAATTGTAATTTCTCTAACTGAATCATCACAAGTATAAGTAAATATTGGGCTCTCTGGTTGTGTTAATTGAGGTGTTTTTACTTTAGTTTTTAATCTAGCGAGTAACACAATTCTAGCATTTGCACTGTCAGACAAAAGAATTTGTACATGTATGTGTACAATGTAATGGACTTTACAAGTGAACTAAAGTAACTTAAAACCCTTTTTAAATCTTAATTTGGTGGAAGGGGGAAGGAAGTGCCACTTGTTCATTGTGGATTGACGACAATCAGTGTACAAAACTGAACAAGCTTTTTCAATTCCCCAATGATGTAAGTGTTTACAAAAATGAGATGTTTTGGGGGTGAATTGTGAACTGCTATCCACAACATTTACTAAAGCTAGAGAAAGTAGATTTTGATTTTTTTGGTTGTGGTTATACAGACAACCAATGTTCCTGTGCGTGTACGGTTTTTGTCTGTTGAGGAAGTTACGAATTGTCTTGTGTGTTTAGAAAGGCAATAATGTCTGGCAATGGTCTGGCATTTGAGTGTACTTCGCATGCTTTCCTGTGGGAAATGCATTGACTTCCTAATAGCTTTGGCCGTGGCAATCTCTCAAATCCAGTGGCTTTTCTTTTTCAAAAACAAATGGACACAATATTTTTTTCTTGTGGTATTGCATGATTGGAACAATCATCTCTGTAGACCCACACCATGGCTCTTTTCACACTGCAAGCTTGGTTAATTTGGACCAAGTGACTGTTCAATTCACTCAAATTGTGTCTGCGCAAAACAGTATAGAGTATAAGCTTGAGAGTTTCAAAACAGTTGATCCATAAAGTGGCTGTGCATGTGATTTGTTTTCAAATTTTGCATCAAATTGAATGTCACAAAATCATGTGCATACTCACTTGAGCCGAATCAAAAATCAAACATTTTGGGTTGTAGGCCTGTACATGAAAAAGGCTAGAATGCACGTGCACAAACAAAGCCATTGCAGATTATAGTAGAAACAAAGCCATTGCAGATTATAGCAGAAAAACTGAGAAAACTAACTAACGCAGGCAGACAAGTTAGTGTGTAGATTTTCTGTAAAAATTATAGTAGGAGTTACTGACTTGGAGTTCTAGTCATTTAGTCATTGCTTGGAATGTTGTGGAGTTCAGTTTTTCAACCTTGGCCAAGTTCATTCATCCGACAATGTCATCGCTTTTAGAGAAAAAATTATTCCACCTATACTCTTTTCAGATTACTCTTTCAAAAGCCCCATCTATACACCCACGACATCATGAGTGTCATAACTGTAATACTTATGTAAATGAACATCCTACTCCATACTGTCCCTCTATGTGTTTTTGTTATTCATAGTGTGGCCTGCCAAAATGTTTGTCAGAGGAAAGAAACCCACAGACTGACTGTTTATACCCACAATATCCTGCCTTACAATTGCAAACAGATTTTACGAGACTCGGTCTGGAGGTCTAGCCCAAGGAGTCTGATCAATGTACCTTTTCTCCTATTTTCAATGTAAAGGGAATATACGACATTTGCAAACATTGAAAAACAAAACTGCCAAATTATCACGAAATAGCTTACTGGACTGTTAGTGAATGACAGTCTAAAACATCCTGTAAAATCCTGGCACCTGGTGTGTTGACATTGTCAAGAAAAGTGGTATTTTTCCAACGCTGGTCGGCCGACCAGCGTTGGAAAAAACTTTTTTTTTCTCAAATACTGCTCCCAATTTATCATATTTAGTGAGCGTGTACAAGCCAGCTAGACTGACCTTAAACCCCCATATTCATCAATTACTGAAAATTACAGCAAAAGCAAATGTTGTATTTTCCCTTTAATTGAGACTTTGGTATTCATTTGAAAAACATAAAAAGAATAACTTCTGCGGCATCATCTGCAAACATTTTTACAAATATTATTATTTTTTATCTGCATGCAATTATAATGGGCGATACCTTTTTTTTTTTTTTTAGTGTAGCAGTTTCATTTTGGGACTACAAGCAAAAATGAATAGAAAAATTAATTGGAGTAATTTTTGAACCTTTTATTCAACAAAAATTATTACAGAAATGTAATAATAATTTACTCACTATTTTACCAAATTGAACAATAAAATTTGAGTTACTTTGTGTTCCTCGAAGTTTTATCAGACACTGTATCATCCACAGTTGTCTGGGAGTATATGTCTCTTTTAAAGACAGCCATCTCTGTAGGAGAACTGCACCTGCGTATTTTACGCATCAAGCACACATTGTGCAGTGTTGAAAATGTTCCAAACACGCGCGCTTGTTGCTCGAAATGTGTTCGAAATACGACGCAGCCAATGCGCGTTATGCAAGTCGACGCTCAAAACGCTCAAAATACGTGGCTGATCTGTAGGAAATGACGCGTCATTTGAGAGAGACCTATTGGAATATATATCTATCAACCTTGTATTTAGGAATTCAGTTTGTTTCTGTAGTTTGTTTGTGATGTGTCAGTTTCTCACAGTATCTGTGTTGTGTTTTGGTTTCTAGAAGCACCAAGTAATGATTCCACTATCGCACCTCATGACACACAGAGTGACGCACAGGGTGATGCACAGGGTGATGCACAGGGTGGCGCACCCAGTGACACCAGTCATAATACACCCAGCACATCTCACACTAACCCCACCGTTCACTCTGCTAATGCAACCACCAGTACTGCCTCAGATTCCTCACAAGGAACGGCCGCAGACGTACTCAGCGATGAGGCACCAATGGAATCGCCATCATTGTCTGCACTTAAAGACGCACCAGTCTTTGAATCCAAAGCAGCGTTTGACCAACTAGTCCGTGAAGGCCTGCCCAATGCAAAGGCTGCACAAACTGCTACAGGTTTGTCTAATACAATACTCTCTTTTCTCACAACTTGACTTTCAGTGGTGGATCTAAGGGGGGGGGGGGGTTGCAACCACCACCCCCATCCCCGCTAATGTTATGATGCTAGTCAAATGGAACTTAAAATAAGAGAATAAATGTGTGCTTTGCAGGTTTTAAACACTTATGTTTAAGACTGGTTGGAGTCTGGATGCTGGTAATTACACGAGTCGAAGGCGAAGGCAATGAGGACTGTGAATGTTCAACCAATAAAACGGTACAAGGCACCGGATTTCATAGGAGTCCAAATTTCATGTGACACTGGAAAAGTGTTTAAGACCAGCCAGCCAGTCTTTATCAGCTGTTTAAAACCGGCAATATGACAGGCTCTCGACCAATAGGAATGGGTAAACTGTCTCGGGTATTTATGAACAATAAATGAACGCTAAAGTTCCTAAATTGATTCCCCCAGACGGACCCCCCCCCCCTTTTCTTGAAAGCTAGATCTGCCCCTGGATTACAGTAAGAGCTCTTCAAACTTGTAAACCTTGATGGAACATTAGACCCATGTTTGAGTTCTTAAAGAGACAGATTTCTAAATTGAATGTCAGAGAAACAGGACTTATAGTGGTGTTCCCTAACGTGGCGCACTTCGACGTTTACCCCAAATTTCCTCATGTAGTGTTGCCAAACTTCTTTGTTGACAAACTTCAAATTTATTCAGTGAAATACTGGAACTTTCACCTTGTTAATGCTTGCTATTTAACCTCTGTGAACAATTTCGGTTTCGTAAAAATTTAATCCAAAATAAAACATCAGCTGAGTGTTCCCTAAGGTGGCACACTTGAATAAATCTCGGAAAATTCCAAATTAACATTCAGGAATTTCTCTAAAGTTGATAAATTCTGATAGACCATCATAATCTCTACTTACATACCCAACTGAGTTTGTCAGAAAAGTATTTTTTTTTTTCCTTTTGGGGGGCATTTCAAAGGGTTCACTGTATACTTCGAAATAAAATCAGAAAATCACGCTGAAATTGTTCTTCCAACATGCTAACGGGTAGATAAACTCGTGATTTATGAACGGGAGTGTCAGTTAAAACGTTAGCTCTAGCTAGGCGATATAGGCGAAAAATCAAAGTGTGCCACGTTAGGGGCCGCGCCACATTAGGGTACATCAACAATACAAACCACATCGTCAAAATGTTGTCAAAAACGACTGAATGATCTTTCTATCTGTTCTTTTGTGAGAAGAACCGGTACCCTTTAGAGCCAAACAGTGCAATCTGAATGAGAGTGCTCCTTAACTAGTTCAAATTGTGGCTGAGACTGGTCATTACATTCAGTAAAAGACTTGTTTGATTTTATTATCATTTTGTGGAAGCAGATCATAACTTGTCTGAAAGGTAAGCTGTAGACTTCATTTATAAATGTAAGCATCCATGTTTAATTCCCCTAACGCACTGTGGTATCATCATGCAGCAATATCCCATGCACACAATGGAAATGGGATGGACTTTTTCACTGGTGATTTTAATCCATGCACTTGAGTTTTGTTGGTAAGGGTTAAACTAATACAACTTCCACCAAGAGAGTTATGTGTGACACATGTAACAAAGCACAATGATTTATGTTTGACTTACTAATATAATGTGAGAAGAAATTGAAAAAATGACCAAAACACATCATGTAACTACAACATTGTGGGGTACTGGTGTGCTATTCCAGGGATCACGGGTTTGAAATATTGCTGTCGTCAAATTTCTTTAGATGAACTTACAATGAATTGAACCAATTATGAATGGCAGTAGGACTCGCTCAGTAACAGCCATCTCTGTAGGAGTTCTGCATATTTTACACAATCAAGTACGCATTGCACAGTGTTGAAAATGTTCCAAACACGCGCGCTTGTTGCTCGAAATGTGTTCGAAATACGACGCAGTCGATGCGCGTTATGCAAGTTGACGCTCAAAATGCCGATGCACAGGGATGGTCTGTAGGAAATGACGTCATTTGAACGAGACCTATTGAAGGCAAATTTGAGAGGAACTGCAAAATATGGGCATACTTTTGGAGGACTTAATAGACATTTTGGTCAAACAATTGTTGCTTAAAAGTTAAAATAGCCCTGCTTCATCAGTTGACCTCGGTGAATCTTGTTAATTATCAACTTGGTGAATTAGAAATGTGAACTCTGTAAGGGTAACTTATACCTTTCCCTACCCTGACCCAGACTATAGAATGCAGAGGTTCATTTGGTTCTCATTCTTTCTCTCTGTGTCAGGATGGGTGAGGGGGTTACAGGTATTTTTTAGGAATCCTTTAAACTTTCTTATTAGTATACAAATATAAAATGGTTTTGATACTAGTTCTCGAGGTATTGGAAGTTGACAGAATAGTTTGTCAACTTTCTACACCAAGGAGACCTAATATCAACTACCCCCCTATATTTGTTTTTCCGATTAAAACAATATACCTCACACATATTCACCAAAATTTGTTGGCAGAACATTGCCGTGTGTGCTGCCATCTTTTCATGCAGCTAGGGTGATGTTTGCGCTTATGCACTACCCATGTGCTATAGTTACATGATTGTTTACTAAAATGCATGCGTAGTAGACTAGTGTATGGGTAACCCATGCGATAGTCAACTGCGCATGCGTATTTACCCTGTGTGCATGCATGCTTTGGTAAACAGCAAAACTAGCCGCTGACATGTGATTGTGAATGGACCAGTAAGACTTCAGCTCTTGCTCATCATGGGCGTAGCCGGGGGGGGGGGGGGGGGGGGGATTTACCCCCCAATATTTTGTAAAGACTGCCTTTTTCTATTCAAATGCCATTTTTTTCACCAGCGCTTACCCCCCCCCCCAAATATTTTTGAACAAGTCCCATTTTTAAAAGTAAGGCCAAGTTCGCGCAAGGACTATAGTTGACCAATGGTTAACTAACGTTTGCCCGAACTCTGTCTAGTCAACGGTGGTTGACTACGCTAGTCGACTATTTGGAACCAGCCTACTGGGGTTGGTTGCTTTGCTGGTAACCACTAGCCGCGTGCATTCACAACGCTAGCAGAGAGCCAGGATCCAGAAGTTTTGCGATGACATTTTGACCAGCGTTTGACTAGAGACATTCGCACGTTGCTATCAGTGCGCAGGCGTAAGGTACGTCACAAATCAACCACTAGTCGACTAATGGTCCTTGCCCAAACTTGGCCTCAGTGGTGGCCTTTATGGTGCCATCGGCTGTTGCTGGTGCCTTTTTTGTTAGTTTCGCGCATGTATCGCCGTTTAAAGCACCCTATATTGTCCGTTAGTGTGCATAATCGTCGGTTTTGAACAGCACCCCCATTGACAGATGGTACCAGCCCCCAGCGCCCCCATAAAAATGACTGTGCTATGCCACTGCTCATGAATATGTATGAGGTATACTAATACAAAATCATTTTAGCCTTTAAGTGGTTTGCATGTAGCATCCTATTTATGTACATGTATGAGAAGGCATTTCCAAGGTTTGTGGTCTGCGGTCCCTGTCACTAGGACACATCAAAGAATGCTGTGGCTACTGTAATTACACGTGACAGCCAGTAGCTGGTATCCTGTTGAGAGGTTAACTGGTTCCATGTGTTGGCGCATGCCATCCCGGCTGGACGTCTCTTTATAACTCGCTTCATTCAGTCGGTCAAATCATGATTGAAATTCTTGAAAAATCATGTTTTCCTGTTTGCAGAATAAAAGTTCAAATATCCAATAGTTGTTTTTCCACTTACGGGATATCATTTCATTTGACCTTTTTGTTTTGGAGTTGTAATTTTGTTGTTTGTGCTAAAGTGCTGCCATTGTAAAATCAAAGTAATAAGCTGAAGTGTTCTCAAAAATTCTTTTGCTGTTCATAAAGTGATCAATATTTTAAAATCGTTGCACTGACATTTATACAGGGCGGTGCAAAAAAAGGGAAACCTTTTGACAGGAATTTTAACCTACTTACTTAACTTATTCAAACTAGTTTTTTTTACAGTGTAGTGAAGTATAGCTCATCAACCATACATGGTGAAAAAATATTTCAAAAAATCGCAAGAATAGTGTTATTTATGCTAATTTGAATACAAGTCACCGAAATCACTTGTCCTCGTGTAAGTCTAGTGCAGTGTTTTTGTCTTCAAATAAAGCTCTTGAGCTCAGACAAGCAGATGGATTAAAACCATCCGTGGACAAACAGGTTTGGTACATGAAAGTTTTAAACTACCATATCTCAGAGACATTATATGCATTTACAATCATTTTTTAGTCACTTATGTTTAAAGATCAATATTTTAATATAATTGAATTTTTGAAATAAGCTCCACAAGTACATGTAGGTGAAAATTGCTGACAGAAGTGGGTTTCCTTCTTTTTGCACCACCCTGTATCATACAAGTATTTCTGCAAATCTTAACTCGAAGGTTTTGGTTCAGGCTGAAGGGCCTTGTGTGTTCCCATGTTCAGCTTTTCAACAGCAACTTAAAAATAGCATTAAGTATTAGCCAGCATATGGGCATATAATTGTGGTTAACTAATTACAGTGTTGCTTTGTGCTTCCAAGGCCTTCTTCCTTCCTGTCCTAAACAAAAAGACCCTTTGCACTTTTGTTTGTGGAGTATGCAAGGTCTTACTGTGTTTTTCTCTCCCAAGCCAGTAAAATGTATGGAAAATGAGTCTTCCAGCCAAAGTTGTTTTGGGAAATGACCGGAATCAAAAATCACTGGTAACCAAACTGCCTTGAAAAAAAAAAAAAAAAGATTTTAGACCAAACCAAATTGAGATCGGGGGTGTAAAAAAAATTCTTTCGCAAGGGTCAATTGTGGAAAATCTGATTATATTATATTTAGACAGTTTTGCTTTTGAATATCAGATATTTTTTGGAAATTGTATAGACAGTCTTGTTAAATTGGAAAAAAATTCTTTGGATAATTTATTTTGCTACAGCAGCAAAGTTTTTAGTTCATTTGCATTAGAAAAGGTGATACATGTAATAGACAAAATAATTCTCCATATTTGCACGTAAATTGTTCATTAATTGGTTCCATAAATGTCTGCATGTTACAGGAATTTATACGTATAGGCCCACTCTTTTTATACACTCAATTGTGCTCTTGAACAAAGACACCGAAAAAATGGGAACCGCCAACATAGGGCTGGGTAATCCGGAGGTCACAAGTTCAGACCCTGGTCCAGTCAATTTCTTTGTTCAACTTTTAATAATTATAATGCTCCTAGTCAGTCAGTTTCCCATAAGTTTATTTCAATTTTTTGAGTTTTTTTTTCTCTGCATGGCCACTCCTGAAATTGGTTAGTGTATTTCATATCTCTTGTGCTTTAATCATATTTTATTTGAGCAGAGCCAGGGATACTAGAGCAGGACCTTGGCTTGTCACTTCTGACGCTGCAGGAAGAACGCATCCTGGAACTGGAGACCATCGTACAAGACATGAGGACCATGATGAACATGCTCAAATCACAGGTAGGCCTGCTGTGTGCACGCAAGAGTGTCCTCAAAATGATTTAGAAAATTAGGATTAGGAATGAAGTGTTCCATTTATTTATTTTGCGATGGTCAGGTGACCTGAAAAAGCCAAGTGGCTACCTTCCAGGATGGAATGGTCTGTCACGAATTTGTCCGCTCCCTCATTGAAATTGATTGACTGTGATTTTGTCCCCTCCCCCCAAAAACCCTGAATGTGCTGCTGACACTGAACCAAAATTAATCTCAAGATTAATCTGAAATCAAATCTCTGAAATTAATCTCAAGATTTCAATTGCTAACTTCAACGAAAAACAGACTATTTCAGGTCTTAACCAGTTTGCGTTGGACGACGTAGTAACAGGCATTGACCGTTTTTTTACACGGGGGTGGCTGACGGGTTAAGACGTCGATGACGTCTAAACATGCTAATCCCTCGTGCCTTTTGTACACACACACAAAGTCTGTGACGTCTGTGGAGGCGGACCGTGTGTTGATCTTGAATTGGCCGTTGTGCACAGCCTATTGTTGTACAATTTACGCAGAGCACAACTTGGAGTATTGAAACATTTGAGGTTACGGCAAGAAATATCGTACAAATACTGTTGAAATGACTCTTGGGAATCAGTGGCATTTGTGGCATTTGGCTGTATATCAGAAATTGACTGGAAAATTTCGAAATTTTCGGCAAAAATAATCCCGGCGCGAAGTGGTTAAGAGTCTTTGGGCCTTTCTAAGGCTTTGTTGTTGTTTTGTGACAGGTTGCCTCAATGGAAGTTCGTCTAGTGCAGCGAGAGGCTTGTGAATGTCGGGTGATGTCCTGCATGTATGATGGCCAGGAGTATCAGGAAGGCCAAGCCTGGCAACCAGACCCTTGCACTGTCTGCTATTGTCAGGTTAGCAACACTCTCTTTGATACTGGACAATTGAAAGGCCACTGATTTTTCTCTTCGCTGGAAAAACAGGAAGTGTCCTCTTTTTCACAGCTTTAAAAACAATACATAGCGAAGATATAGGGGTCTCGTAGCCGAGCGGTTAGAGCGTGAGCTACGGAGTGGAAGGTTGGCAGTTCGAATCCCATTCAGACCCAAAACGGGAAAACTCTCTCTGACGACCCAACAGTAAACTGGGTACCTGATTCGTTCAGGGAAGGTAAGACGGCGAGAGGAGAGGACTGGGCACCGCCACTCATATGCCACGCCCAAGACACAGAGGACCTCTAACATCCCACAAATGTCTATACATATTTGGAGAGTAGAATCCATTAGCTTTTCAACAACGTAAACATCTTTCCAATCAGGCAAATAGTTATTGAGTTATGGCCAATTGAAAACAAGTACCACTTTTTCATTTTGTCCACGGCGACTGATTTTGACTGCCGCAATAAGAACAAGCACCGAGACTTGCATTTGTGAAAAAAAGGCTACCAAGTAGAGGGCAGAGACAGAGCAGTAAAGTAAACATTTAAGAAGTTAACCAAACAGTCCTTTTCAGGACTACAATTACTGCCAAAAGAATAAACGACTATTGTTGCAAAAAATTAAAAATAAAAATAGAGAGAGATATTAAAACATTAAAGAAAGCAAAACTACCCTCACCGCAAATCCATTACATTCCTGACAAACGACAATTGAGACAGTGGACAGATTGAAAAATCGGCACTTTTTTCAAGTGGCCATAACTCAATAAATATTTACCCGATTGAAAAGTTTTTTTCGTTGTTGAAAAGCTAATGGACTATACTCTCTAAATATATGTATAGATATTTGTGATGTATTTTTTTAAGCTTTAAAAAAAGAGGACCCTTTGATGGTTCGGTTTCTTGTGAAACACCCTGTAGAAAAGAATTTATAGAATTCGCCTTCTGAGATAAAATAAAACCTTTTGAAAAAAAACCCAATGAGGGTGAGCACAAAAAGTAGTATAAACTATGAGTCTTCGTCTCGCCTGCTTTGCTATTAGCGGCTTTGCCACTTGTTACCCACTTTGAGGATGAGTCGCCCGCTTCATGGCGAGTCCCTAACTTAGTGTGAAAAACACAGACGTTTGCAGACAAACACAACGGCCAACCACTGTCATCTGTAATTTGATTCTTTTCCATGTTTCCCCCAATTTTCTGCAATTTTTACATCACTTTTTTAATTTTTATAAACATGAGCTTATTTTTGCTTACATTGCCTGCCAGCTTATTAAATGAATGATATAGTGAGTTTCCATTCAATAAAAAATGGTGTGCTTTTGTTGAGCACCATTCCTTGTTTGTCCAGTCGCTGGTTTTCCACACATCGCCGTGAAAATAGCCTTGAGATTCACCTTGTTGAAAGGGCATTATGAATTACTTGTTATTCCAATTTTTTTTTCAATAAGCTTGTCGAGTTTGCGCATCCACTACAGCAGAGCTATTATGTACACTTGTGATATTGGTGAACAGCTTGAATGCAGAATATTTGCAGTAAAAAGCAGCACTGCGATATTGTCTGACGGAGTGCATGTACATTATAATTGGGTGAAAAATTGGCAATTCCATAAGTAGATATTTTGGAGATGCCATTCAGCTGTGGAGCATGTGCGTATACATAGTTTCCTTGCCATAGAACAATTTGAATTTTCTTAAAACATAGTAGTGCCTTGCTATTCTCTTTCTAAAACGTGGAAACTTGTTAGGGTTGTGCCAAAGATACCTGATATTTGAATATTTAATCATCAAACGAATATCTAAAAAAGCATATTTTTTTTCCACTTCAAATGTTAAATAAATGTTGGAGGTCTCAAGGAAGTGATAAGAAATTTCCGCAACGTTATTTTACTTGTATAGGTTACTTGGTTTTGTTGTTTATCAAACGTTACACTTTTGTGGAAACCCACTTTTCAAGCTTCCATGAGGAAGAAAATCTCAAACTTTCTTGTTAAAATCAGTCAGATATTAGCAGTTCCAATACCTCTTCTTTACATTACTTTATAAAGATTTTTTTCAGTTTTTGACAACCGCATGAGCTCGCAAATCGATTGGCAGCTAGTTTAGGCTGGTGCACTTTATCTTGATTGGGGCATTTTCAATATTAAATATTTGATCAAGTTAGAATAATCGAATACTAAATTCGAAAATCATGTGCTCTCTAAATCTTCACTTCCGTCATATAGTCTCAGTACTCAAAGTTGTACATGAAGGACACTTATTGGTCCTTCACGACATACAAAAATTTCACTTAAGTTGGAATATCCAGGTTAAAGCTTGGTGTTTGTCTGGAAGAATTTATAAAGTTTGTTGTTTCCTATTCCAGCAAGGACAAGCACTCTGCTCATTTCAAAACGACCGGCCGGAGTGCCTGAACCCTTGCCTGTCCAACCCCTGCATGAACAGTGGAACGTGCCAGAGTCTCCCCGGCAACGGCAACTACTCATGTCTTTGTCCACCGGGTTGTGGGGGTGATCACTGCCAAAACATGAAGAATGTCTGCGCTGCCCCTCCAAAGACCAATGGGTGTGAACAGCGAGGGGTCATGTACTACTTTGACATGTTCACTCAGAGATGTGAAGTTAATTATGCTGGTAAGGGAAAGCAACTTGCAAAAGATTGTTTGTTTTGAAATAATTTTGCTGTTCTTCCCAGACTACAATATGAATGTGGCCCCTTGTCATGGTATTATAAACCATGAGGATTAAAAAGGTATGAGGTATGAAACTAAACAAAGAAAGATACATGGAAAAAAAGAGGAAAACACAGTCACATGGACAGTGGTTGCATCACCATATCTCACCTGCTGAAAAGCAGCCTGACATACGACGCTGAATATTATCAGCTGTATGTATTGTCTGTGCTGTTCTTGAGTCCAACCATGAAAATAGATTTCCTTTTTTTGGTTTGCTATTTTCCAATAATACAAAAGTGACTCACAACATGAGAGTACAACGGATGCAGCATGGGCATGGTTTCCTTATACAGGGTGGTAAAAAAAAACACACGAAAAACCCCGCAACCTCATACTTCCACTATTCAGAGACCTACACTATTGATATATGTGGACAAGAAATTGAAAGGCAAATGATACCAAGAACTCCTAATTGAGTCCAGTAGTTTTGATTCCAGCGCCATTTTTGTGAGCCAAAGTCAGGGGCTCTAACTAGGATTATCGCACATTGTGAACAAAAGGATTATCTTAACCTCTGACTTAAATGACACTGAAATCAAAACTACTGAACCGAATTGGGAGTTCATGGTATCATTTTCCTTCTTACAAAATTTCCTAGCCATACATATCGGAGGTTTAGGTCCCTGGATATTGGAAGTATGAGGTTGCCTTTTTTTGGGACTACCCTGTACAGTGGAACGTCGTTATAAGGAACATCACGGGATCCACAAAAAGCGTTCGTAATAGCGATCGCTCGGTATGAGCTCCGTGCACTACCAAAAGAGGGCGCCTTTTTACCTAACAACGATGTCCCATAGGCGGGACATTTCGCTAGTTGACGCGCACTGTTCCTTGTGTGTGATGCACGTACACCAGGGGGTTTGTTCTATTTACACGCAGTGGCCGCGCTTTGCGGCAAATGAATTGCAGTCAGGCAAGATGGCGTCGGTCGGTCACCCCCAACTGTACTTCCTTTGCCGGTGAGGGGGTGCTTGTGAACGGAGCGGATAGCGCTTTTAAGCTGCCAGTGCTCACTTTTCAATAAATAAATAATACGCCCTTGTTACTGAAAGATGACTTTAAACATCTGCCGACTATTGAATTATGTAATTACACAGTTTTTGAGCTTACTACCTACAGCAACGGGCCGCTTTCCCCTTGTATTCCTTAGGGAACTAATAATCACTTGTCACTCTTCTGTTGACATTTTTCAAAAACAGTGTGCGGTACATTTTGTACAAAAAATCTTGGGAGCCAAGGACGATGTTCGGTATAGCCAATGGCCCGAATGTTCGGTATAGCGGTGTTCGGTATAGCGACGTTCCACTGTATTATGAAACAAATCGTTAGAAGCGCACTATTTGCATTAAGCAATATGAAACGCTCATTTACAGTCAGTGCATTTCAGTTTTTGGCATATTGGCTTCATTTACGCATCGGTTTCGAAGATGGCAGATATGCAATAAGCCATACAAAAGCCGTACAAAGTTTCAAGTTTTCCCATAGATTTTGTGCACATTTTGTACAACGAGTTTGTAATGGAGCAGTAGACGTACCAAACTAAAGCTTTCTCAAATGTCAACATTGCAATATCCAGCTTATTTAAACGCATTTTCTTTTTTTGGAAACTCCATCAGGTTGCCTGGTTGACGGCAACAGCTTTGCAACTCAGCAGGCATGTCAGGATCAGTGCATGGTGGGAGCGTGTTGCTATCGGACTTACATGCGTGGATCGGCAGGCCAAGAATACCTGGATTTCACTCAACTCCTCCCTGGCCACAACTGCCAGGTAAGATGATTTATATTTCGTATCCAGTTTCTTATTAATACATGAAAATGAAAAACGAATAAAAAGTACCATGTGTGTGGTGAGGTGTAGATATGAAAGATATTATGGTGACTGTCAGTGTTAAAGTCAGTGTTCTTAAAAATGGTGTTGTCCTCAAAAAAGTGTATCGTCCCTTCAGAAATTGGTTCCTGTCCATAGTTCTGTGGGAGAAGACATTTTGTTTTGAAGACAGGAAACATTAAGATGGAAAGAGTTCATTATTTGACTTGAAACGGATACCATAATGTATGTTAAATGTCAAAGGATCTTTTGCTATATTACCTCTCATGGTGTGTGCTTAAAACTGTAGTCAATATGTTTTACAAACAACACTGTACACTAGTGCAGTTCCTGTTCAAAACATGCCTGTTCGGAACGGGCAAATTGCTTGGCCTCCGGTAGACGCAAAAACATTGGGGTGCCCGTATAACAGCGCGCCATATCTACACCTCACCATTGCACGATCTTCCCCCTTCAAGAAATGGTCAAGCCCATGCAGGCAACCACCATTTGCATGTGTGTTAACAAAATGTTCAAAATGTGCAGCAGTGCGTGGCGCGGTCTGTATACACACATTGTGCTTTTTTTGCAACTTCTTTGAGAACTGCTCATCCAAACAACTTCAAACTTGACGCTGCACATTCTGGGGTGCTGAGCAATACACTTGACAATTTTCAACTTCATACAGTGCCTGGTTCTGGAGATAATCAAAATACAGACACACAGAGACACAGAGATTCCTGGAATTATAGTTAAGATACCTGTTGGGAATTTTTTCCATCCACAGACCCTGGCTCTGGACCAGTGCCGTCAGCTTAACATCTTCACCCCCTCAGCCAATCAACGGCATGAGGTCATAGGATTCCACCCAGGCAGGTCATGTGATGAGATGTCATGTGACCTACCCGATGGCTGTGTCTTTATGGATACTATCCATGCAGTTGGGGACAGCTTTCGCACCCATTGTCAGGAGTGTAGGTGCATGCCTGAAGGAAGGCTGAATTGCAGGTGAGTAATTGCATCCAATCTGTTACCAGATTTGACTTCAAAATTGGCTCTCTTTGTAACAGCTCCGTGCACAAGTACCCCCCCCCCCCAACGGTAAGAAAGGGAGATTTGGGGAGACCACTACGAGAGACATTCGAACGCATTGCTGACGATGCCTGACACTCACTCTAAGACGCTATGGCTTTGTACACATTCAAAATAAAAGAATTGTGCTTACTTTGCGCTATACGCGGGCGAACTAGTACATGCACGCGAGCCCATACAGCAAAGTTTCCTCTACGATTGTACCTGACCAACAAGGCTGCCCACCACTTTTAGCTATGTATGGAGTATATACCAGCTGTGCATGTCCCTACGTTTGCAATGCAATATGATATACAATTTTGACTGAGCGAAATAAGTTCCATATACACGAAACAAGTGTGAAACAACACGGGTGAGCGCGGCTTGTTTGAGTTTGCAAGGGCCTTATAATAAGCAGCAGCAGCAGCAACAGCAACAACAGTGCCATGATGGCATCATTTGACCAAATAGAGTACAAAAGAAAAGAAAGAAACACGAACCGTGAACAATTTTCAAATTAGAACTCAAAAAGGTGAAACAAGTTGATTCTTAAACAAGTGTTAGAGCATTATAAGCTCTGGCCGTCTAGTATGAAAGTCTTGCGTAACGTTGACTGGAGATTGTGTGTACAAGCCCGAGCCGCCATCCCACGCAAAAATCACGCTGCTCTAGTCTGCCTCGAAAATTGACGAAAATAAACCCCCAAAGTTTCACATAAAATGTAGCGTGCTATTATACCACTCGTTTTTGGTCATTTTCCGGGGACAGACCGACCACCAAAAGAACATGCAGAAGCTCCTGCCAGAGCTTAAAAATCCTGTGCGGACTGACTAGGTTTTGAACTATTTTTGAGTTTCACCCCCGAAAAATAGATTTAGCTTTTCAATTGCTATTTTTGTAGCAATCCAAAAGTTATTCACTTTTGAGTGAAACATCAAACAACAAAATTCACTCTTGTCTATTTATTGAATGTTTATTTGACAAATTTCAGGCGTATAATTGTGTGTGTAATGGGCACAAAAGCAACCGAAAATAAAAGTGACGAGGTTTGAAAACATCCAAAACCCAACAAGTGGCTTTTTTTGTTTAAGTAAAACACACAAATTGAAAATTCGTTAGGAGGCCGTTTTCTATTTTATCTAGTGATATTAAAATCTTGAATCTCAAGTTCTGCATTTTCCCCAACCCCCTTTTTGGAGCCAAGCCTACTCTGTAGATTCACTTCTGTATTTCTTTGTATCTCTGGTATCTGCAGGTGTCTTGAGATGACAGTTCGTAAAGAGATACGTGACATGACGAGAGATGAGTTAGATCGTTTCCAGGCCGCTGTGCAGCAGCTACGCTCCTCTGATCAGGGCAGTCCCTGGGAACATGCTAGAGATACTTACATGCAACACATCATGGAGGCTAATAACATCCCAGCATACTTGCTGTGGCATCGGCTCTTCTTACGCCAGATGGAGAGACGCTTGCAGGTTTGACTTTGCTCTTCTTGTTTTTCCCCGGAAGGGATGGGGGCTAGAGTTGTCAAAATTAAAGGTAATATACAATATTTACAAACATCAAAAAACAAAACTACCAAATTATTATTAAACACCTTACTTGACTTCAAATGTGAATAATAGTCTCAAGCATCCTGTGAAATCATGGGGCGCTGTCATATGCAAGAAAAGTGGAATTTTTCGTATCAATTTCCAACGATGGTCGGCTGACTATCTTTGGATTTTTTTTTTTCAAACAAATGCTTATTTAATGGAACTATTATATGGTTCATGTCAAATGTGAATGGGAAATAATACTCTGTGCTTTGATTTTAAACAAACAACACAGTTGGATTATACTCATATCGAAAGAAAGATTCAGGATAAACCCTCAATTGGGAGAAGGGATTTCATAAAGGTTTGGAAAGGTCTTGTCGAGATTTTGACCCTGCAAATCATAATTTTACCTAAAGATGAATGTTGACAAAATGTGTACATATTCTTTCATGACATAATGAAACTTTATAGGCAGGTTGTTTGGCTTATTTTGTCTTTGAACATTTAAAGGATAACAAAATAATAGGCCAAAGGGTATCAAAAAGGTCTTGATTATAACACCGTAGGCCAGTTGTACACTTCCCCTCAAAACTGTTTGTCATCAAAAGCCGGTTCACAAATACAAGTGCCAAGCAAATTGGATGTCTTGGTTTATTTATAAAAGTGATATGTAAAAAAAAAATCAGATTTTAATGGGCAAGAAATATTTTTAACTTGGAGAAAAAAAAAGGCTTTCAAAAATACATAATAAAATGGTTACATTAAAAATGCTAAATAATATGCTACCCGTAGTTAAATTTATTAAACTTTGTGCTTGATAAACTCCTACAAGAGCACCCATCTTTGTAAACCCCGGCAATTGTGGACCCCCTATTGTCCCTAATCCTCATTCCTTTGTTTGTACTCTAACTTTTTAGCGACAGCTCTCATTGGTTTTGTACATGAATTTCAATTGTGAACGTTCGGTCAATCGTGGACGTATTGTTTGTGCCCTAATCCTTATGTCTTAGGTCCACGATTACCGGTGTTAACATATACTCACAGTTCCATTTTATATCCATCTTTCCATCTCAACTGTTAATTCTTGTTGTTCCTTTTCCAGGAGATTGATTGCTCCATTGCTCTGCCGTATTACGATTTCACCACAGACGTCGGTGACTTCTCTAAAGCCATTATCTGGCAGCCCAACTATTTTGGAGGTGATGGCCGTGGGTCATGTGTTGAAGACCACCCGTTCCGGGGTGGCTCACCCTGGGAACCGTGCCTGATCCGCAAATTCATCTATTCGATGCGGTTGCCGTCCAAGATCGATGTTGCCACGGCGATGGCAGCAACCGATTTTGACACCTTCAGCATGTGCATGCAGACCATCATGGGTCACGTTTTCAACTACATCGGGGGTCACGCCGCCAGCTCAGGCGCACCCTATGACCCTGTGTTCTACGCTCTCCAGACTTACGTCGACATGATCTTCTGGCGATGGCAACGCAAGGTCGGCAATGATGGCAACTTCCCGGCAGCCATGTTGGACATTCCGCTGGTACCCTTCAACAGTAGGCCGCGTGATTTGCTGCGTTTAGAATCGCAGCTGTGCGTGACGTATGTGTTACCAACGGAAGGCAATCCTTGCAACCGTACTGCCTCAGTATTTGGCCGAGATGGATACGATAACGAAGGCTATGACAGAAATGGATTCAACAGACAAGGCTATGACAGGTACACTGCGTAATAATCAATATAACAATTGAAATAATTAACAAAAATTACCAGAAAAATGGAAATTAAAGAAAATAAGAAATGTAAGAAGTGTCTAGAAAGGAAACGAGGATAGAGAATCAAAAGTAGAGCAAAAGTAAATTTGCTACTTCAAGGAATCCTATTTACACCAAAAATCTGGAATGGTTCAAATCATTTCAAAAAGCAGTGCCTGTCAATTTATTCCAATATGTTTCAGATTTTGAGATTTAGCATTTTTGAAGAAAGTAAAAAATAGAAATGTATCCTGAGAAATAATACAAAGAGCCTTGAAAGAAGCACCATGTCACCAAGACCACCTTCCAATAGGTCATATATCTGAGTTGAATGGGGGTTGTGTGACGACGCTTTTTTCTGAGTACACAAATTAGATATCTCACATTTTAATATTGAACCACCTTAGTAAACTTTAATTCAATCAGAAAATCTGATTTTAAACACTTTCAAATTAAAATTCTGTTGCTAACCTTGGGTTCACGTCTGTCTGCCCCAAAAATGCCAACTTTATAGCTCCCCTTTCACTCAAAGGTATGGCCTTTTCAGTAATCTTTCATTTATTGTCTGTGCCTCTGTGTTTCATATTTCAGAGCGGGATACACTATGGAAGGATACAACATATATGGCGAGTATGACGAGCGAGATTTGTACACTTATGGTCCAGAGGGACGCTATGATTATGAAGGCTATGATAGAAGTGGCCATGACCAATTTGGATTCAACAAATACGGCTTTGATCGAGATGGTAAGAACAAGTTTTGAAAGTTCGTCAGCACGCAACTCAAGTAACAAACTGTTCATTGATCAGGCCGCACCCACAGTATATGGGCTTTTTGGCAAAATCGTCTGTATAAAGTTGATGTCACGTGTGGACTAGCAGTAGAGCACAGGATTTATGATCGTGAGGTTGTGGGTTCGAGCCCGGCTGTGGCCATGCGTGTTGTGCCCTTGAGTAAGGCACTTTACCTCAATTGCTCCTCTCAACTCAGGTGTTAAATGGGTACCGGCATTATTCAATGCTGGGAAGGTAGCAGACTCACTGTGGAGGAGGTGTGACGATCCCCCACAGCAGCATATGAGTCTGGCCCAATCGCTAAAGAAAGAGAGATGGGCAATCCATTCCTGTGAACACATGTTTGTCCCCTTGACCTTACCTTTTTTTGAAAGGTTCAATACAGTTCTGTAAGAAATCCTTGAAGAAATTGTTGATTTATATTGGCTCTTGAGCCCGACTGTGTGTAAAGTGTACAGAACTCAAAAGTTTGATATGTTATTTACTATTAATAAATACCTTGGAGAGTTGGTGGCTTCTGATTGGTCAAGACTCGATCACGTGGGGGTGTATTAACGGTGATATTAAGACCGGCTTCAAAGAACAAGCGAAAAAATGGCCCCTGCACCAGCATTGATCCAGTCCCATGCAAGACAATGATTGGCCAAATTTACAACAGTCCTAAGGCAGCTTGTAACAATACAGCACTGCACATGCGCTCAACATACTGGAATTTGTATTCCTGTGGAGACATTTCTTTGTTCTCGTGTAGTAAAGTTTTCGAGTTTGAAATTGAAGTTTCAAAATGCTCTTATTTTAACCAGAATTAATTTCCTGGGCTTAAATTTGGACTAAATATCCCTTTTCTAAAACTCTTCCATTTGCGACAGGTCAACCTACCTTGGAAATTCCTAGTTTTTGAGTAAAATCCATATATCTATTTCGAGAAATTCTTGTGGAGACGTTTTCATCTATAGAAATTGTCCTGTGGAGACGTATACAATCTTTTGTTCCCTATTGTGTGCATGTCTCCGTAAGGTAGTAAATTCCAGCACTCAACCACCTTCGCGTGAGACTTACGCGTGCGTACGCAACATAGTTGCTATGGGTGCGCGCGCGTAAGGAAGTTTTCAAACGACATCGTACAGCAGTATACTGAGGATGTTTACGATGAAAGCATAGATATGCAATTTGTTTTCTTTAAACACTTCGCCCACCGACATATTTACCTTTCCTAAACCAAGTATCTTTGTAATTCTGGACACAAGGAATATGTAAACGAAATTTCAGCTTCCTCCATCAGGTAAAAATATGAAAAAATTGTTGTAATAGCCTGGGCCCGGCTATGGTGGTATTTTGCAACGCATGTTGAAGAGACAGGGTACCGCGCATAAGCTAAAATATGGCCCATAAACATGTCTGGAAATATCGCCCCAAGAAAAGTCACAAAATTGGAGCATTTTAAATGTTTATTTTATTAAAAAAGGTATTATTTTATTAAAAAAGGTATTTATTAATGGGAATAACAGTGTGAGGATCCAGTCTTCACTGCGTGATAATGACTGGGTTTGGGGGTGACTTCGTCTCGGTCCATTAACAGCGGTCACCCCCAAACCCGGTCATTAACACGCAGTGAAGACCGGATCCTCACATTGTTATTCCCTTATGAACAATATTGCAACTTGTTATACTTTGACACCCTCTGCAGGTTTTAATAGAGATGGCTTCAGCATTTTTGGTTATAACATCTACGGCTACGATCGTTACGGCTACAATGAGGAAGGTTACAATGCCCAGGGCTATGACCGCAGTGGCTACAGTACATCCGGCCTGCCAGACACAACAGGACGCTACAATGCCAATGGCTATGACTTGTACTGTCTGAACCGATACGGCTTGAATGCCCAGGGCTATGATGCCTATGGCTTCAATCTCCAGGGAGTGGATAGCTTCAACTGTAACTTCTTCTACGATGGACCGTTTAGTCTGGGCATCTCGATACGACTAGACCAGCTCCTCTTTCAGCAGACCAAGCAGTTTCTGATGGGCGTGGTCCACACCTGCCCCCGGCCAGGCCAGCTGCCACTGGTGTGGTTTGAGCAGACGTGGAGTCTTCAACAGAAACCGCTGTCTGGGGGAAGAACACAGCTGACTAATTTCCCATCCTCACTCACATCAAACAGGTAATAGTCAGAACAATTACACACCCATCAAAAAACAGTCACTTAGAATTGAAAGATTAACTGACAAGTACAATTTAGTTAAGTGTTGATACTAAACCAAATGTCGATGATACCAAATTCCTTATGAAATACATTTAATTTGATAAGATGTTATTGTGACAAATTAAAAATTGTGCATTGAAAAGTGTTTGTCTTTTTTCTGTATACTAGTGGGATGCCACACCTCCATGGCACCTGCTAGCTGGGTGGAGTCGTATACTAATGTTTACTTCGACCTCAATTTGCATGTTGATCCCAAGTGGGCATGGTCAACCTTGGTGCAGCAATTTTGTCACATTTGTTATCATTAATGTTACGTTTTGCATAATAGCGATACGTTTTAGAGTGTTTTCATATAGAGATAATGTTGTAATATTTAACTATTGAAAGTCTGAAAGAAACAAATTTGCCAAAAAAGCAAAACAAAATACAAAAATCCTTTTTTTCACGTGCCAACCGTGACTTCAGAGGACAGTGAAATCAGGGCATCAGTATACAACCATGGAGCTTTAAGATATAACTAAGCCTCTACATTAACCGTTGCATTTTGTGTTTCCGCACACTTCTTAGGCCTTTTTCGAAAAAACGTGACAGACATCAGTGAGACATCAGACAGACAGTGTAGGATCTTTTAATATAGGAGTTTTTCAATGCTCCAGTCAAGAAATCTTTATGATTGTAGAAAGACTTAAGTGCGTCTCAAGTGAATATAGCTCATCAGGCTGGTGTTTATCCCTGGTTCTCTTGGTTGAAATACTAGAATCTTTCTTTTCCCCAGGGAATGGGATGCCAGTCCATCGCAGGTTACTCCCCAGCTAGTGCTGTTACCCATTTGTATTCCTGGGTTTAGATATGCTTGGGGTGATGTAGCTTGCCTGAGGACACTATTTATGGCAGTAGCTAGATTCAAGCCCCTGACAACTCTGATCATACATGTTGATCACAAACCTTAACCAGCAGGCAAAGGGAATGTGTGCTTGGCCGGTTTTAAACACTATGTTTAAGACCGATTGGAGTCTGGATGCTGATAATGACCTGAGCTGAAAGCGAGGGTCGTTTTCAGCATCAAGACTCCAAAAAAAAAAAAAAACCTTAGTGTTTAATACCAGCCAAACACATATTTATTCCCATTCACAAATACCTTTTTTTGTCAAAAAATCAAAACTTTTCTGTCCAAAAGTCACAAGTCAAAAATTATAACTATCCAAAGATTTTATTCAACAAGTTTACTTCATGGTTTTCGAACCACCCCTCTAGCTAAGCTATGGTATGGCCCTCTCGCAAGAAGTTGTAAACAACTCCTTATATGGGCAATTTTACGGTTACGTTACATTTTTGATGAGTTCCTTGGGCTGTAATAACCTTACTGAAAAGGTTTAATAATTGTTATCCTCATGGTGGATAGAGTAGACCTAGACCTACCTAAGCACCAAAGATGACATCCAGAAAAATGTGTTATGTATGATAAAAAAAAGACCCACAAAATCGGTTACTCACGTTACATTTTCGTAACGTGAGTAACCGTGGAATTGCCCATATGGAGATTTGCGCGCACGTCGCACGTACTGCGCGATGTAGCGCAGAATGCAGCTGCGCCATTGTAGTGTGAATTTAGGACTATGAAACACTGACTCACTGGTAGTAATGCACATGCCTACATGAGCATTGTGAATGTTCAACCAATAAAATGGTAAAAGGCACTGGATTTCCTAGGAGTCCAAATTTCATTTGACACTGGAAAAGTGTTTAAGACCAGCTGGTCTTTATCATCCGCTTAAAACCGGCCACGTGATTGGGCTCTCGACCAATAGGAATGGATAAACTGTCTGAGGCATTTATGAATACTTACTAATTGTTAATTGCTATACTTTTTCTTCTTCAAGGTTTAAACTTAGTTTTTGGTTTGTTTCTTAATTCCAAGGTTTTGCTTCGATGTGGAGTCCTTCTTAGACAGTTGTATTTGTGACGATTCCAACACTGTCTGTCCCATCAATCCCTGTGACACTCCCTGCAATTCCCATCCCAACGCGGTCTGCTCCTACAGTTTCTGTGGCAGGTGCTCCTCCACCTGGTATGAGAACGGCCAAGAAGTCAACTGTGGCCAGAGCCTCGGGGATGGTATGTGTATAAACAGTGAAGCACTGGAAACCAGTTAAGGCAATAAACGTCCCTTGCAATTTCGGCCGGTAAACTGTTTTTGCTAAGCTAATATTTTCTGTCCTGAGCAAATATTCGTTCTTATCAGCCTCATGAATTTGGCCACAGCCAACATGCAGTGTAACCAATTGCTTTATGACCATTTCCTGCACAAATTTGTGAAGTAAGTGACTTCCTTAGCAAAAGCGCTTGCCTCTCACCACTGTGGATTTTTCTCTGGGCTCTTCGTTTTCATCCCTCCACAAAACTTTTGATGTAGCTGTGCTCCTCGGTAAAGACATGGGTTGTTTGGTGGCTGCCTAAGGAGCTTTCACATGCCTTCTGCTCGACCATGTTGTAGCCGCATCCTTCGCAATTCAGCTTCTGCTGCGAGTAAGGACGATTAGTTCCCCCCCCCCCCTCCAAAAAAAAAAGTACAATAAGGCCACAAAAAAAAGGCTCCGGTTTCTGGTATGCGCGCGCGTCACCGTAGCCATGCGCATCGGCAAAATGAAAAAAAAAAAATTTCAATGAAAGATGATGTCTCAAAACCGCCAAACTCACTGGTTTGACTGGAATCCTGCTATTGCACAATTTTAAAATGACAGTATTAGTGCTCTTCAAAGTAAACCGCTTTGGTAGCTAAGTCACTTTGCCCCATGTCGGCACACACTCTTACAACTTACAGAGTTGTTCTCACAGACATTGAAATTGATCAACTATTGAGTTTTTGCCGAAAGTGTTATCATTCGACAATGGGCCCCATTTTTTTGAAAAATCGTGGCCTTCATATGACGGAAATTTGGGGACACATACGGTAAAAATGTTATGTTTATTGAAGCAAACTTTTCACAAGAAATTCTACTCCAATCTGAAAATTAGAAATTGTAAAAATTATATTTTTCAATCAAACTTTGTCATTAACGTTATGTAAACATTCGTCATTTACCTTGAATTGTCATCTGTTTGACCCTGCACAAATGGTGTCATTACTTTTCCCCCACCCGATAAAAAAATGGCTTTTTTTACTTTTTTTTTTTTAAATCCTATCTGTCAGATTGTTTGAATGGAACCACAACCCATGCAGATGGCTCTACCTGGCAACCTGACCCATGTACAACTTGTATGTGTAATGTAAGTAAAGCTTTGTCTGAATAACTTGGCTGAGGCTTGCAATTTTACTGAAACCATCAAACACGTTACTGGAGCCTAAATCAGTTCGCCAGATATTATTGAAATGTCTTATCAAATTCATGTGTGACCCTCTGTCGGTATTGGAGTTGTAAAAATCCAAATGTGAGTACCAAGCACCCTGATTACATTTGTAGCTCTGACTACTTACAGGCAAATCCAAGTGAACTGATGTTTAATCCTTGACTAAAATTGGTGTTAAGCACAAGCACATTAAAATTGAGTACAGGTTGAGTATAACAGAATGTGTTCATAGAAGACCAGATTTTATTCAACTAAATACTTCATTGTTGTCAGCGAGTGCCAGATATATACGACACGCCATGAACATACTAGTTCTCAGTGTACTCAAATACTGCTGCCTGTCCACTTTTATTCTTTGTGTCTGGTCAAATATTTGCTTTTCAGAGAGGTTCAGTGAATTGCCGATTGGATGAGTGTCCTGTCTTAAGATGTCAGTACCCTGGCAGTGTACTAGGCCAGTGCTGTCCACGCTGTGATGGTAAGAAACGTACTCATAGGCTGGTTTATAGTCAGTCGCACGACGGTCTCACAACTGAAAAATTGAGATTTGATTTTCTCACAAGCAATTTATAGTTGCTGAAGGGCCAGGGACTAAAGTGCCTTGCTACAGAGTTCCAATATTCAAACATTGACATAGACACTGCCTCGCTTTATATCATTGCATCAATAAAAATGCTTGTTTGGTAAGAAATGATGAATATGCAATACGCCATAGAAGTGGTTATGTCGTACGCCGCCGAGGTCACGCGTTGTTTGGGACGATCGTTCCACACAAACCTGGACTTACGTAGCGATACGCTCGGTGCCCAATTTGCAAAAGAGAAATAACGGAATCTGTTACCGTCTGAGTGATAACTACAGTTAACTACGAAGCACTGTCCCATTTTCCAGTCTAATTTATTCATAACTAGTGCAGTGCCCATTCAAAAGTGCCAGTTTGGAACGCACAAATTGCTTGGCCTCAGGTAGACCCGCAAACTTGGCGATATAGAGTACAGTGCCTGTGAAACAGCACGCCATCTACGCCTCACCGTTGCGCGATCCTCCCCTTAAAAAAAAATGGTTGAGGCCCACCTCACCGTTGCGCGATCTTCCCCCTTCAAGAATGGTCAAGCCCAAACAGCCAACCACCATTTTCAGGTGTGTTAGCCCGTACTACCCTAGTCTGGGTATCACCCGTTCTCCTCAGGGTCTATTACATAGACTACCCATACCCGTGGCCTGGTATAGAGTGCAGTGCCTGTTCAAAATGTGCAGCAGTGCGTGGCGCGTTTTGTATATACACGTTTGTATGGTCTAGGCCTCCGAAAATGCTGTTTTTTTGGCAGCTTCTGTGAGAACCGCTCATCCAAACAACTTCAAACTTGACACTGCACATTCTTGGGTGCTGAGCAATACACCTGCAGATTTTCTACTTGATACAGTGTCCGGTTCTGGAGATAATCAAAATACCGACAGACAGACACACAGACACACAGAGATTCCTGGAATTATAGTTAAGATAATCACGTCTTTATTCAAATTCTGAATTTTGTTTGTTAAATCTGTAAAAAAGGGTAACAATTCCATATGATACATTATCATGTTTACTGGTAGCAGTACTCATAGTATTTTATTGTTTCGTTTTGTCTTTCAGATTGCCTAATAAGGGGCGTGTTCATTCGTAATGGTGGGAGGGTCTTTGATTCTAATCCATGCTTGATCTGCACATGTCGGGTAGGTATTTTTTTTGGTCAAAGAAGTTTCATTTTCAATGGGCCTTCATCTGCAGCCCTGTTTATATTTAGGACTTGTATCTCTTTGTATTTGCCATCACAGTGGATAAATAGCTCACACATCAGCAATGGCTACGGGATGGGGGTTTTCTTGGTCCATTTTGTGGATTTCTCATGTGGAAGCCTATAGAACTTAAAGTATTATTTTTCACATGATGGAAATTTTGATTCATTGGAATTAGCCACCACGAACATACAGTGAAATCTTGATAAGTCAAACTCTGATAACTCAAAACGACTGTTAAGTCAAACAAAGAATCCATTGCCTTAAGTAGTATAACAATGATATACAACCCTGCTTAACTCAAAACTCTGCTTAAGTCAAATTTTGAACCTGTTCCCTTGAGGTTTGACTTAGTGAAATTTCACTGTAATTTTATATGCAATATATACTTGGTGCTGTCTGAGAGCTTGTGAAAAAACCCAGATTGGCTTAGGTTAGACTTGAACCAAAAACCTCCTTTTGATATAGTACATTTGTCGTAATCACTCTACTAATGAGCTTGCTGGTTGATGAGCAGATTCAATCTGATATTGAAGTGTGTACCGTAATCAGTGTATTACTTGTGTGTATGTGGCTTCCATGTATAGGGCAAGTCAAAAAAAGCGGAACCCATGATCAAAGAAATATATTTCATATCAAAAAACTATGTTGAACCAAAAATAATTATGACTTGGAAGCCCATTTACTGAACTACTTTTTAGTGAGAAAATTGTTTCAATTGCTCTACACGTTAAAATGTTATCACTATTTAAACAAAGTAACCCTAAAATCAGTTTCGTCCAAAAAAGCAATTTATTGTGTGTTCCGACTGTTTGGAACAACAAAGAAAATGACACAGAATACTTGTTTCAACAACTGTAGTACACAATATTTTTATTAACAACCCTGCTTTGGCTAACAAGAAGATTTTTAAAATTCACTCGTTTTTATTTTTTTTAAGACTGGCTTTCAAAAGGACTTTGTTAAATATTTTCTACTTTTCAACTGAGGTTTTATCGGCGGTGATGTATGAAGACAATTGTAACGACAATTCTTGAAATCGTATTTTTGGATGAAACGGATTTTAGGGCCCTTTCGTTTAAATGGTGATATAGTTTGAAAGGATTGAGCAATTGAAGTAATTTTGTCATCTAAAAGTAGTGTATGAAATTGGCTTACCAGTCGTAGTTCTTTTTGGTGCTATATATTTTTTTAAATATGAAATATGTATATCTGTGGGTTTGGGTTCTGCTTTTTGGGACTCACTCTGTATATGTATTTACAGTCACCAGTAAACACATGACCATAGTTAAGCTACAATAAACAAAAATTTCCAACAGCAAAAATTGCCACTGCTGTATGCTTTTGTAAATAGCTGGATGTGAGTAGTGTAAATGGTTCGATCAGTTGTGATGTGTGGAGCCTGATGATGAATAGTCGGGGATCTTATGAAATAAAGCAATAATGCCATTCATTTGTACAGGATGGTAACCGAGATTGTCAACCGGTACCCTGCTCTGCCCCGCGCTGTACACACCCTATACAGCTAGATGGAGAATGCTGCCCCACGTGTGAAGGTAAGAGGACTGTAATAATATAATATTGACTGCTTCAAGTAGGCAAAGCCGAGGGTGCTATGCGCCCCGAGGGGGTAATAAACAGCATATGCCACATCACAGCAGTCAACAATTGTTTTGTTTTACCTCTGTTTTGGATTCTTTGGATTTGGTGTGAAAATCACGAAAACAAACAGCAGTACACACAACAATCATGACAATCGAATGTCAACTCACATGCATGTCACGTGCTCTAACCAGCTGATTGTCTGCCATGATCATTCTAGGCCAATGAAAATACAGTATTCAAGACGGAGGTATAACAAAGTAATTATACAACACCTAAAGAAATCCCCATCATCTGATTGGTGGTTGGTTAATCACGTGTCATTGACTTATTCTTCCCAAAGCACATCGTGGCAGCCGGGCAAAAAATGAAGAATTTTTGTGTGGCTGAAACTCCCCTTACTTAAAGGAAACATGCAGTCCAAAATTTTCATAACGTATTTAATTTTATATATACATTCATTTATGTGTATTAAATGTGAATTAAAGCAGAACTGGTTCTGGTGTACGTTTAGTGTGGTAATTTGCCGTCCAAAATTGAACCCCCCCTTTTTGATTTTCGCGGCAACTCCAAATGAGGGCGCTGTTCATGACGTAAACAAAGGCAGAGAAATCCAGGGCCCGTAAATGACGTCTGGGATTAGACGGATTAGCGAAGCTACTGTGCTGTGTGTATGTGCAGCCGCCGCGCACCCGTACGTGGCATTATATGCACACGTACGAATGTGTCTACATGTACATGCACACGTGGACGTGCCACGGTGCCACCGTTGTCGAATGAAAACAACGACGACTGTCATGTCCGAAGACTCTTCCTCTTCTTTCCTTAGCGAAACCGATGAAAATGGTACAGATTCGTCCGATTCGAATCAGAGTTCTAATGATTCAGACACTGACTCGATGTTTTTTTAGGGGCATGCCCAAGTTGCTGTACAGACCAGCATCAAAGCACGAGGGCTCAAAGTGCAGCGCAGAGGGCCGAGAACTCACTGGGCCCGGACCACTTTGCTCTGGTATTTACCTTCACTTTGGCTCTTCAAATGCTCCGATATTTCGGATTTACTGGAAACAAATGAAGGCTTACTCCATCCTTGGTAGTTTTGCTACACCCAGCAGCCACACACCTTGTCGGCATGGCCGAAAATTGGGTGTTTTTTCTTCTCGATTCCGAACGAAACACCAGAAAAACTTTCAGTGCCGCAATGTATATGTACATGTATTATGATGCACGCCGCAATGCCGGTGCCCCCCGCAGCGCGGCAAGTCTCTCCCTTGAATTGCGTCATACCCCTCGCGAAGTTTTATGTTAATGAAGCTTCCCTTTGTGGGGCGGAGTAGTTTGACCAAACATGTTCACAAATTATTTTCCCCCATTTATCCCAGAAAATAAACACCGCCATACACAAAATATTGTTAAGAACATCATCCTTTATTGATTTAAGCAAAAAAAATGCAATCAAAATTTTATTTCATGTTCCCTTTAATAATTTTCATTGTTGTAAATTGTTTTCAAATATATGTAATCTTCGAAATTAGTCAGTTTTGCCACATTAACGTGACTGATCTTCAAATGTACAGTACTTTGGTAACAGTGTTTTATCAAACTTGATTTTCGGTTAAATCTTTGGAAACTCTAATGTATTCATATATTGGAAGTGTTTAGAAGTTTAGAACTTGAAGAAATCACTTGAACATGATTGCATGGCAGGATTGGCACTCACGTGTTTCAGCGTTGTAGTAATCAAGACCTAATATACAGGCATTAGATTTTTCAGATATTTGTCTGAAATCAGACTTTTTGAATCTGAGAGAAAGACATTATCAGTGCTATAGACAGAAATGCATCTTTCAGACCTTTTATCAACTTTCAGACTTTTTAAAAATATTTACAATCTCATCCCTGCTAATATAACGATAATGCTTATGTGGCAAATTCCCTCCATAGGCTGTTCTTATGAAGGGGACCAGTTATACAATGGCCAATCGTTTCATCAGGACATGTGTACAATCTGCACCTGCCTTCTGGGTAGCGTCGTCTGCTCTGCCGTCGAGTGTCCTGAGCTGACTTGTCAGAATCAGGCCACTCCTGAAGATGAATGCTGCCCTCGCTGCACTGGGGAGGGCGGATGCGTCTACGAGGATATGGCGTTTAATAGTGGTGATTTCTTTACTCCAATGGCTAACCCATGCCTTAGATGCTCCTGTTTGGTGAGTGCATAACATTCACTTCATTAACCCTCCTATGCAAACAGGAATTCCCAGCTTACATAAAGCAAGATTGACTGGCTGGGACTGTTTAAGTAACTTGATATAGCTATGCTTTGACTCTGGGTGAGTGATAAAACAGCTGTGACCACAACTTGCCTGCTTTGTCTGTTGACCCAGTTTGACTAGTCACAGTGCTTGCTTGACATATGATCTGACTGCTGGTGACTAGCCTATGTTAAAAGTATAGCAGGGGAAGTGGAAGTGAATTTTGACTGTCTGTGACTGTTTAAATAGCACGAGGGTTAATAGCAACATTAATGAGTTGTTGGAAGTGTCCATTCGAGGATAGACCTTTTCTCACAGAGCCTGTGAAAAAACCCTGGCTTTTTCAGAAAATAAGAGATATTTTGATTATGTTGTAGTAGTGGCATACACTGAAGAATATTGATTAACAAAGAATGTAAAATTTCATTTAATTTCATTTCATTTATTATTCATTATGACACAACATGAAAAACAATCAAAAGAAATTTACGTATACAACAATTTGCAATCAAATAAAAACACATAAGATTTAAATATAAAATATTACCCCCATGATACAACAGACACACTGTCCTTAAAAACATCTTCTAAATCTTGAATTAAAGAGATGAGATGCATTTGGCAAAAATGACCTTCTAAAATGCTGTTGGTGACTTTTGCCGGTTTTAAGTCGTATGTGAGCTGTGATCAGGATTTCTGGAAGTTAAATTGTTTTCATTGAAAAATGGAACTAAAAGTTTGAGATGATAACATGTTTTATTTAGTTTTTGACATTAGACAGAAAGTCTATGAGACAGAATTTTCCACATTTGAATGTAACTTAAAGGCCAATGATATCCCTAACTCCCTAGGGAGTGTTCAAAATCGTATTACAATTGGAGGATTCAGGACTGTTGGGGATAGCTATAAATTCAAAAACATAACCAAGTTGCTGATAATTTGTATAGAGTATTTTTACTCTAAGTAACCCCGAACCCATTTCTCACTCACAAAGATCACTTATTTTATCCTTCTTCTATGGCTCATGACATGATGTAAAACAATCTCTTGTCTGTTGCTTTACAGGACAGCAAAGTGCGTTGTAATCCCATTGCATGTACCCAGCCTCCGTGTGATAACCCAATCCTACTGCTTGGAGCCTGCTGCCCGGAATGTACCGACAGTAAGTATTGTATTTCACTCAGTCAGAATTTGTAAAAGTTTTTGTCTTTGATTGGACTTTTCATTTCTTACTTAGAACAGCAATGATCCAAAACTCTATTGATAGTAATCACATAGTTTTCTCCCTGACCTCTCTTTGACCTTGGTTTGACCTCAATAGAATGCATCTACAATGCTCGCCAGTATAACAACCTGGAGCGTTGGATCTCAGATGACCAGTGTCAGCAGTGTACATGCCAGGAGCGTGTAGTCAGCTGTCGGGACTTGCAACCGTGCATCGCTAACTGTCAGCATGGCTATACACCCACAGGACAGTGCTGCCCTCAGTGTACAGGTATGGCAGTGTGCTCACAAGTCCTGTCAAGTTCATAACAAGTTCTTCGGTTTCAAGACAAGTCACAAGCCATTCATATGAACTGTGACAAAATCATTCCTTCGTTATTGTTCTTCAACTGTGGACTGGACTTGTGAAAGGACATGTGATTGACTTGTGATTGACTTGTGATTGACTTGTGATTGACTTGTGATGGACTTGTGATTGACTTGTGATTGACTTGTGATTGACTTGTGATGGACTTGTGATGGACTTGTGGTTGACTTGTGATGGACTTGTGATGGACTTGTGATGGACTTGTGATTGAGTTGTGATGGACTTGTGATTGACTTGTGATGGACTTGTGATGGACTCGTGATGGACTTGGGATTGACTTGGGATTGACTTGTGAGTGACTTGTGAGTGACATCTGATGGACTTGTGACCGAACTGTGATTGACTTGTGATTGACTTGTGATGGACTTGACCATAACACTTTCCTCAAATTTTCTGAATTGGTGACGCCTTCAATAGCCACTGTATCTCTACCTACTGTTCAATGATTATAATTCAGTCTGAAATATCTACTTATGTATTTCCTGACAAAAAAAACCCATTGAGGAAAGCCTTTTTAGGGGGTGGCATGCCACTCCGAACTCCCTTGATCCACGTTTGACTTTGGGTTTTAGCTTTGCATGCCCTCGATCAACAACCTGCTAGATTGGTGTGAGTAGGCCTAACCAAGCTATGAAGACAAAAGATCGCAGCCTTCAGGACAGGATGAAGGCTTTAGTTGGTTTTGAAATTTTACAGAGATATTCTGCACGGGGATTTTAAAAAAATTATTCCAGTACTTGATATGCAGTGACGATAACATGTTAATGCCAGTTCATATTCTACTGGAATGCAAACACAAAAGCAAATTTGTTACTTAACATTGACATTAAAGTTGGGCACATGTCAACTGCTACAAGTTTGGCTGCGAATGCTATTCATCTTCAAAATCTCTTTGCATTTGCATTCAAGTAAAGCACATCTGAAACTATTGCAGTATGTCTTAATCAACTGAACAGATTGCTTTTATGATGAGCGGCGTCGACCCAATGGTGAGATCTTTACCAGTGAAGATCAGTGCAGTCGCTGCCTCTGCTCGTTTGGAACAGTCACGTGCGAGAAATTGCCCTGCGAGCCGTTGCCATGCCAACTCAGTGAGGTCATCCCTGGGGAGTGCTGTCCCGTTTGCAGAGGTGGGTGTTTTAAAGTTTGTATTTAACCCTGAAAGAGGAGATGCATTATCTTACAGGCAGAGGGGGTGGATTCCACCATACCCAGAGATGATATTTTTCTGATTTTTTCAAATTTCATTCCAAAATTCTGATGTTTCTGACGATCTTTGACCACAAATTGTGATATAAAAAAAAAAGTTTCAACGAATTTAATGAAAATGGCAAATCTGTATTATATTGCAAGCACAATTTTAATCTCTTCTACCAGTCGTCAGTGCACAGCTTGTATGGTAGAAGCACATGAGCAAGCTCTGATTGAAGCAGTTTACAGCTGGAAATAAGTTTAAGCATTAACCTATGAAATTATCTGAAACAATGCACAGAGCTTCAAGGCTGGACATTTGCACGTGGAGATTGACTGCAGTAAAATCCACATATTGCATTATTTTCGGGGGTTTAAGATTTATTTGTACAAAATGCAATGCTTTAAAAATCACGATGACAATCTTGGGGATGGCAAACAGGGCATTAAAGATACATTTAAGTTGCTGTGGTTGGAACAAAAAGACGATAATGCTGATTTCTTTCCCTGTGTACGTTAGCGTGGTAGCTTGGCCTTGGTGAACTTCGACTATTTTCCTTGACTTTCTCGAGTAAGAAGTAAACTTCTTTGTTGTCAAGCTTTAAATTCTGTCGGTAACTATAACCTAAAGTCAGTTTTCTAATTTCTTGGAAACAATTAACACATTTCACATCATAAAAAATTTGGTTTGGTTCTAAAAAAATTAAAATGGAGGTGGTGTCCGGAAATTAGGCACAAAGTTGTTTGTACATATGTACATGTACATATACATGTACATATGTACAATTGTAACTGCGGTGCGGCCTAGATTTCAAACATGCTTTTTTTGTTCGAAGCTCCAGCCGACCCGATAAAATGGGTGGTTAAAAAAACCCCGATAAAATGGGTGGTTAAAAAACAAATCGAAAATCTCCTGGCATGCATAACAACCTCTTGAAAGTGAGTTAAGAGTTTGTGTTCTTGTGTTGTCTTGCAGGTTGTATTGATGATCTAGGGGAGCGACATGATCACCAGTCACTGTGGACGCCGGTCCTTAACGTCTGCCAGGAATGCTTGTGTCTAGAGGGCCAGATTACATGTGAAACCATCCAGTGTCAGACGCAGTGTTCTCATGCTATTATCAGACCGGAGTACTGCTGTCCTATTTGTAACGGTAAAGGAAAACTCTGTTTATTGTCTTTTGTGTCGCCTAAACGAAGTTTGGGAAACACTAACTAGTCCTAAATTTTGTATGTCCATAGACCCGTACACACCAGAGGTACTTTGTGGTGGTACTCAAACAAAGGGAACGGTACCCCACAAGTGAAATCTTTAGTAAAACGGGTACCCGACAGTGAAATCGTTAGAAAAAGGGATAAAAGGACAACAATGCTCCTACCCTGGAATGTCCGTATGACCGTGGCCCCATATGTATGTTAAAGTTTTGAAAAAAATTGTATTACTTCTACAAGCTTTCATGGATTTTGATGAAACTTGGATGTAGTGACCCTTGGGTGGGAAGACACATTTCTTCATCAGATTACTGAGGTCAAAGGTTATGTAGGGGTCATTAGAGGTCATTGTTCAAATATGCTTCAAATGTTTCTTTGTCTGCAGAATTTCATGGATTTTTTATGTAACTTGGATGGGATGATCTTTGGGTGGGGTTTCATCACAAGTCTTCCGAAATTGGAGGTCAGGGGTCATGGAGGGGTCATTTGAGGTCGGTTAAAACTGTACCAAGTTTGACTTTTTTAAGAACACAAAACATATAGGGATTTACCTCGGGAAAAAGGTGATACATGCAGTCTGCGGACCACTTGTATGATTTTGATGTCATTGTGTTGATTGTGTGGTTTCAGAGGGCTGTTTGCTGAAAAAGTTGGTTCAAAAATGTGCAAATTAAGGAATAGTTAGCTGAGATTATCAAAACAAAAGGGATCATGTGTCATATTTCAGCTAACCTATTTTGACAAGGCAGAAATGTTCTCTTCAATATAGGGTTTTGCCCTTGACCGATGTATTATTATACACACTGTATACTCATTGTTGGTCTGAGTGATTTTCAGAAAAATAAATCACAAACTACTCAGGTTGGTATTTCAACCCACGACCTCCTGCTTACTAGTGCAGTCATCTTGTTATCTGTTCCTAAACTTTTTGTGCTCCTGTGAAATCAGTAAAAACAATAGTAAATGCCATTTTTGAATCGGGCATATTTTGCCATTTAACCAGTTCACGCCGGAGGACGTGTATACACGCAAAAGTTTTCCAAAAAGTCAGATCGGATGAAAAACCTTGCAACAACCAAGGCTGGAAAATCTCTGTCAGCGAATTACAGCCACCAACCAAGGCCAGAAATATGACTCTGCAGCCCCAGGGTGATGGCTTCGACCCGCCAGGCATTGCGGTTAAATGAATATTAAACCCGTGCCTCAATCCGTTCTTGTAAAAATAAACCCGGCATGAACTGGTTAAGAAGGACTGTGACAATCCGTAACAACTGCCAAATTGCCCATTTAGATCGATCTAATCTTGTTTTCAATGTGAACATATTTTCTCAAAAATCAAAAATTCATCATTCACATTGTACATATGTAACCATACTGACTTCTAAAATAGTTGAATAATAGTAAATGTCTAGACAAATTGAAGTACGGTAACTACAAATATTGAAGTCACTGTGGAATTCTTGAACCATCCTCTTTTTGTTGTTGATCAGGTTGCTTCTATGAAGGCCAGGAATACAGTAACGGTGACCTGATTGCAACCTCTGACCCCTGTCGTCAGTGTGCCTGTGACATGGGGTCAGTCTCTTGTAGCTACACTGCCTGTGATCCAGTCAGCTGCCCGCGTCCCTTCACTCCTCCTGGCCAATGCTGTGCTGTCTGTCAGGGTAAGTCTCAAACTTGTCAAACATTCTGTGGACTCTAATTGGGAATTTTGTTCTCGAATGGGCAGTCTTGACAAACACCAGGCCTTACTGTATGTGAATTAGAACCAAGCATTCGGACTCCGTGTATGAACAATAGATAGGGAGGATTTTGAGAGCACCAGTGGGACGGACACACCACATGCACACGCAGGTTTGCACGTGTAAGGCCAAGACAAATTTTATTTTGAATGTGCCCCTAAGCAAACCCATATTGTCTTGATGTAACTGCCAGGATAGTGCCCAGCTTATGGCGGCAGTGTTCAAGAATCCCTCCCAGTGGTTCCCCTCACAGTTACTAATGTAATCATTGAGGAGGTGCAGGAAGTGCATACCCATCATCTTTGAGTAAACTTTCATCCTTGATTCTGATTCAAGACAATAACAGTGTGTTTTATTCTATACAACACAGTCTTTATTGCACAGTGCTCTAATGCCGGCCTCAGGTCGACCTGAGATTTGCTTGCGCCACGACGGAACCATTGGCATCAAGCAGAAAAGTAATGCTCTGGTCACAGAACTGAGAAATTGTGTGATTCTTGTAGAACAAGCGGCTTCTCGACACAAAATAATTGCAACCTACTCATGTCACCCACGACGCGACAACGATCCTGCGGCATACACATGACCTTGCTACTTCTTCAAAATGGCAGTGTGCCTGTTGATGTCGGTCAAACGATTCACGGGCATGTCTGTTCATTGGACCCTTTTTGCTGCACACTGATTGGCTTCACAATGAAATAAGATGATCCGGATGTGCGCACGACGTCTTAAGTTCACACAGGTTGAGTGCGATTGATTCTCACCTGTCAGGAACACGTTCCGTTGCAGCGCAGAGTTTGGATTTTTCTACTCTTGAGACAGTTGATTTTTTTTATCGCCAACTGATGCTGATCGTCTTAATATTTTCGCAGTTACACAAGGTTGCAAAAATCGGCAGCTTATATTCCCTGATGGTCATATCCTTAAAAGTCATTCGCCAACTGATATGTGTTGTCGCGAGACATTGAGGATGTTATGTTTGTTAATACTCTTTCAGATTGTGAGTTTGAGGGTCAGATGTATGAGAATGGCCAGGAGTTCTTTTCCACCGTGGATCCTTGCCAACGCTGTAATTGTCAGGTCAGTGACTTCTGAAGTGTCATCGTTAACTTTTTTTATGCCTAATCCAAGTTATTAAAAAACAAACGGCCAACTCACAGAACATTTGTAACTTGGATTTAAATTGTATTAATAAATACCTTGGAGAGTTGATTGGTCCAGACCCGATCACGTGGGGGTGATATAAAGACCGGCTTCAAGAACAAGCGAATAAATGGCCCCTGAACTAGCATTGATCGAGCATTATGTAAGCCAAATGATTGGCCAAATTTACAACAGTCTTACGGTATTTAGTAACAATGCAGCGGTACACATTCATTCATTCATTCATTCATTCTTTATTATTTTTACCACATCTCATTTCATTATGTGACAAGGCATAAATACATACATGTAGTTTTGGGTATTATAAAGTTCGAGCTTGTTTTACAAAATATATATATACACTTTGGGCGCATTATTTTCTAATTGGAGATGGCGGAAGGGGATCCCCAAAAAGCAGAGCTTGTCGAGTAGAGATCCCCTTTAACATGGATTAATATAAACATTTAATGAAAAACAAATGAAAAACAATTGAACGTATAAATTTTAAATTGTACATAACACACGGAAAAACAATATTGCTGATCAGAAAAAAAAAGAAATACAGAGTAGTAATACAGAGTAGTAACCCAGTAAGCAGATTAATCTGAGCTATTATAATTTGATAGTAAATTCGATTTAAGTTTAGATTTAAATAATGGAAGGCTACGAATGCCCTGGAGTGATTTATGTAAGGACTTCCAGTACTTGGGGCCTTCATGCCTAAATGTCTTTTTATAAACAGTTGTTCTTGCAAATGAAAAGTGAAATTCTCTACGTTGACGGGTAAAATGGTGATGTATAGTTTTGTTTCTACAGAACATTTGTGCAATGGGATTTGGAAGTAAATTATTATTCAAACGATGCATGAAGGCTCCAAGCTGAAGTGAATAAATGTCATTGACCTTGAGTGTTTTATGTTTACAGAAGAGAGGATTTGAATGCTCAAGTCTGTCGACAGAATTAATAACTCTCAATGCCCGTTTTTGTAGGTTAAGAATTCTATTCACATAACTAGCTGCACAATTCCCCCATGCTAGGATACCATAGTTCAAATAAGGCAAAATCAATGTATTATACAGCATGAACAGTATTTCCTGTGGGAAAAAGGCTTTGAGCTTACTAATGACACCTATATTTCTAGAGATAATAGCACAAATGTTGTTAACTTGAATTTTCCAAGAGAGAGTAGGATCAATATATAATCCCAAAAATTTTACACAATCAGAATAGGGCAATTTTATGTTATCGATATATATATCAGGTAAATGGGACCATGTTTTAGCGGAAAATAGCATGCAGGTTGTTTTCTTGATATTAAGGGATAATTTGTTAGCTTTAAACCATTCAGAAATTTTAAGTAATTCTTGGTTAACTAAATCAGCAAGTACATCAATGTTGTTATGACTAAGAAATAAATTACTGTCATCAGCAAACATAATGAAGGAAAACAGATCTGATGATTTGTCAAAATCATTAATATAAATAGAGAACAGTAAAGGTCCAAGTATTGATCCTTGAGGAACTCCATGGGATATTTGTTTAAGAGAGGACTGGTGACTCTCTAAGGACACAAATTGTTGACGATTAGAAAGGTAATTCTTAAACCGCTCCAGAGGAATGCCTCCAATCCCATAATAGTTAAGCTTTGTTAAAAGAATGTCATGATTAATGGTGTCAAAGGCCTTAGAGAGGTCTAAGAAAATTCCAAGCGTACTTTTAGATGAATCAAGGTTGGTTGTGATTTTGTCTACTAGCTTAATGATGGCATGTGTTGTTGAATAAGTTTCTCGGAATCCGAATTGACTGTCAGATATAATATTATACTCATTTAAATATTTAGTGGTACGATTGTAAATAATTCGCTCAAGGAATTTTGAGAAGGTGGTTAATACTGATATCGGCCTATAGTTGTTTACTGATTTTGCGTCACCTTTCTTGAAAATTGGAGTAACTCTGGCAACTTTCATTTTTTCAGGAAATATTCCTGTCGAAATTGACAAATTCATAACAAGAGTTAAAGGTTGGGATATTGACAAAATAATTTCCTTTATAAGTGAACTAGTTATTAGGTCATAGCCTGCACTTTTTTTCTTTGGCAATTTATGTACAATATCGATGACTTCTTGTTCAGTTACTGGGGCAAAGAATATGGAGTTCGGATGGGGACTAGATAAATAATCAGAATAATTTTTAGTACTGGTTGGAATCTTACCACAAAGTGTTTGACCAATTGAAGTAAAATAGCTATTAAACTGATCGGCTATATGGTGCGGACTATCAATAATTTCGCCATCAACGTCTATGCTATTAATTTTGGATTGCGATTTGTTATTAATTACATTGTTGATTACTTGCCATGTATTCCGGATATTATTTCTATGTTGTTTAAACTGCTCAGCGTAGTACTTCCGTTTGGAATTACGGAGGACGTTAGTTAAAATGTTTTTGTAGCGCACATATTTTGTTCGATTAGAATCATTAGGATGCGACGTATATCTATGGTATAGCTTGTTTTTGTGATAGATTGATTTGCATAAACTAACAGTAACCCACAGGGATTTAGGAGTTGATTTTCGTGATGCAGGCTTACTTTTTGTCATGGGAATATTTTTATCAATAAGTAAATTTAAAGTATCCATAAAATTGTTAAAAGCAATGTTTGCATCGGAGGCAGAGGCGACATTTGTCCAGTCACAGGAATTCAAGTTACTATTAAGACTAGCTATGTTTTCTCGTGTGTGCTTTCGAGTACAATTTGGCCTGGGATTGGAACGATCCCAGATTGGAAGCGCTCAACCACCCTCGTACTAGACTTATGCACGCGTACGCAACGCAGTTGCTATGTTTGGCTGCATGCTTGTAAGTAAGTTTTCAAACGACATGTTTGCACTGCAGTGCTGAGGATGTTTACAATTTATTTTCTGTAAACACTTTGCCCACGGACATATTTACTTTAGCTAAACTGAGCATCTTTGTAATTCTGGACACATTCTCGACTTTGGCTCTGTCCATTAACAGCGGTCACCCCCAATCCCGGTCATAATCACGCAGTGAAGACCTGATCCTCACACTGTTTAATATTCCCTTATTCAACTTACACATTTTCATCAAAGCGTGAAAACTTGACTTGATGTCACAAATCTGATTTGTGTTCACCTTTTTTTGCCAAGTATATTGCCTCAAATATATAAGAGTCTGGCCCAATGCATGTACCTGATTAACAGAAAATATTACTTATTATATAACCGACATACAGATCCTCACATCACGTGGCATTCGTTTTTGCTCCCATTCATGCCGTGGCTCAAAAAGTACTATCCGCCCATGGGGGATGGGAAATACTATTCAACAGTTAGGATCATGACGCGGTATTTGTGTGCAAATGCATGCTGGTGTGCGCGTTCAGCATTGCGCGTAGCGCGTATTGTTCCAAAGAGCCAGCGCTATAGCGTTGGGTTCAAACATGTTCGTGAAGGGGTGGTTTGGAAGAGAGAAATACATGTTCCTCCAGTTTTGTATTGAAAAAAAGTTCAAATATATCAAATGACAAGGATCTATATGTCAGTTATATAAAACAAATATTGAGTGGCTTTAAATTGTGAAATGGGAGGAATATTATCGCTCGGTGAAATCTGGACTTTTCCAGTTCACTCGGCTTCGCCTCGTGAAATGAAATAGTCCAGATTTTACCTTGCGATAATATTCCTCCCATTCCACGCTGAGCCACTCAATAATTGTAAACTATATTTCATGAAAATTAGCAGTGAACCAGTCACAATCACTATACATTACAATACATTTTGGCTGGTTACCAATTTTTGTTACGTAAATAAATTTGGAGCTTGGGAAATGTTCCAAGATATAATCTCCTGGTGTGGTCAATTTTTGCTGACTGTATTGTTTTACAGAGAGGAGAGGTGGTATGTCAGAGTATAGCATCCACATGCAGTACTCCATGTAGCCACCCAAGCAGGGTAGCTGATCAGTGCTGCCCTGTCTGTGATGACTGTGAGTATGATAGGAGAGTCATACCCAACGGTAGACGGTTCAGACATCCACAGGATCAATGCCAAGTCTGTACCTGCACGGTAAGCACCAAACTCAATAATCATTTTGCTATGGGACTTCTTCACAATCAAAGATCCTACCATGGAGAGGCTATTTTTTTGCAGTACATTATGGGAACACAGTCAACAAATAAATGTCAAACAGTATTTATTTGAGCAAAGACGTGACAACTTTTTTTGCATTTTGTGGACACTTATGACTTTTAGTTGCATTCCCCATGCTCTTCAACAAACTGGATTTTTTTCTATTGATAAATTTTCAATTTGTATATTTTATTCCAACCCCAAAACTCATTTCCCCCCGTTTTATTAGACTTCTGCAACCCTCTGGGGAAAAAAAAAGTTGTTTTGTCATGGGCACAAAATATCTGCCTTGCGAGCAGACTGGCTCCCGGTCTGTATGTTTTATTGATACTGACTGTGGGGCAGGAACCAGCCTAACCCTGCAAGAATGGAATTATTGTCTGGTAGCCACTAATTTGAAATTGTACAGTAATAATTCAGTATTAAACTGAACACGGGCTGTTTTTTTTTTGGTCGATGTCTCATTCAAAATTGACGAAGGCTTGTATTGCTAGAAAAATAGCAATGTAGAAAAGGAATCTATTTTTCAGGATGAAACTTGAAATAGTACGTGGCACACAACTTTAATTTGAAATTTCTTGTGTGAATAAAAGTGAGTTTATTCATGAGGCTTCCGAATGCCTTTGTGTTTGTGTGATATCACAGGTGACAGAGAGAACTCATTAGCTATATATGAGGATGTTGACTAAATTTGAAAAGTGGTCTCTCCCAGGCAAATGCGTGGTGTTTCACTATACTGTGAATTGCTCCTCTCGTCAATATAGTGAAAGAGTTATGACTAAAACATCTGAATATAGAGTTATATTTAAAAACTAGAGAGCATACTCGGCATATGCGCACGTGTCAACATTGATGCCCAGCGGCCATTCTTTAGGTGGGCAGCTTTTCATTTCTTTTTCAATATAGCTCTTTGCACGTACGCGCTGAAAGTGGGCACATCCAGGTTTTTTTTACAATCGTGCCTCTGCAGCTTTTGCCCACCTAAAAAATGGCCGCTGCCAAGTTAAAAAAAAAACCACTCTATTTTAACAAAACGATTGACTTGTTATCCCTGATTATTAATGATTTTTCTACCAAATAACTGTCGGGACTGTTCCTTCAACCCCTCAACAAATGTTTCTGTCATCTCCCTGAAATATATACATTTTTACATTCAACAGTACTTTATTTGACACAAAATATAAACACACAACTCAACATGATCAACTGGTCAGAATCCTGAGATTGTTTGTTATTTCCACAGGATGGTTCGGTGTATTGCGAGCCGGAGCCTTGTAACCCAGTGTCATGTCGCAATCCCGTCCTGCCCCCCGGCCAATGTTGCTTCCAGTGTGAGACCTGCACAGCGAGAGACGGCCGGGAGTACGAGGACGGAGCACAATGGACTAGCTCTGAAGACAGGTGCTATACATGCACGTGCAGGGTAAGTCTACTGGTCCACGGCACAGTTGTCTTGATTTACTAGGTTTACAACTCACCCAGAATGTTGTTCAATTTTTTTTGGAGTTAACTCTGAGAATCTGGAATGCTGCATGTTATGGAAACCATGATGGCTGTGTGACCATTTTTATTTTACAAAATGCTTTGGATTCAAAGAAAGTTATATTGAGGTTTAAATTTTCCATTTTTAACTTGTTGGTACTTGAAGTTTGTTTGTCCATTATATACTAAGGAATTTATTAGAATTCTGTTGCGTGAAAACTACGTTTTGTTATAAACGTTGAATCAGGATACAACCAATTCAGAATCATTCAGTTTTATATACACATTTAAATCAAAATTGTAATTATTCTAGAACATGTTCTTTTGATAATTTACTTAACTTGTATTACAGACATTATGATTGCATTCGCATGCAGTATGTAGAGGTGTACCGACTTGTTCATTTAGCCTGCTGACTGAAACTCACAGAGTGCAGCAACTTAATCACCTTTTTTTCATTTTTTTTCCTCTTATAAATTTGTTTTAAATTTTATTCCCTGAAAAAAAAACAATATTTAATATGGCATACCTGTGCGTGTGTATGGTGTAAATCGAGGACACACACGTGCAACATCATTGATAAATTGAGGACAGGAACCAAATCGAGGACGACCTTGATAAGAAAAAAAAAGTTAGAGTCTAAACAAAGGAAGAGGGAAGAGGAACAATAGAAAAATCCTTGATTTACACCATAAACAAACGTGTCTGGATATGCATGTGTGTAGTGTTTGTTTGTTTGTTTATTTTTTTGTTGCTTTTCTTTTGCCTGAGAAGAAAAAGATTGTTGCATGATTGCTGTCGTTGTGCCCTGCGTACTCTTTTCATTTTACCCGCAAATTTGTCCTAAACCAACCATTTCCACAATGGTAAAATGCATTAAAGGTATGTAGGATCATACATCTTGGGCTTTTTTTTAAGCAATAAAATTGTTGAAAATCTTAAGTTGGGTGCATAACAACTAACCTGTTCTCAATCAGCCAGTTTCTATATGTGACGTCGATGTTCCAATGGATGGATAGTCCTCGCAATGTTTAACCAATATCCTCCAACTTTAAAATAAGTGTACCAGGAGTGTGCTTTTTTAAAAGCACCCTCAATTAATATCTGAAAGACATCATTTCACAGAGTATATATGTATATGTACCAGCCTACTTATAATGATAATATAATAATAAAAGTGGTTATTTATAAAGCACACATCCACCAGGACTGCTGCTCAAGGCGCTACATCATTATTACCCCTGCTCATTGGGCCCATGAAACATTCCAAATGCCATCTCAGCTCCCTGGGAGGTATACAGCTTGATGCAGCCATTTCGGCGCAAAGCAGCTAAAATCAACCACACCAACCATCTCTGCCCTCACAGGTACCCATTTACTCCTGGGTGGAGAGAAGCTGGGTGAAGAGAAGGGTTTTTTTCCATTGAATCAATAGGTTCATTTCTGTATACAATGTACCGAAATTTGCAAATGCAAATGATCCTATACGTGCCTTTCATGCAGTAGATTTAACAATTGTCGACTGCTGTTATGTGGGATATGACGTTTTGAACACCATCAGGGCGCACAGCACCCTCGGCAAAGCTATGCGCCCCGATGGTGTTTGAAAAGTCATATCCCACATCACAGCAGTCAACAATTGTTTTGTTATACCTCTGTCTTGGATTCCTTGGATTTTGATGTAAAAATCACGAAAACAAACAGCAGTAAACACAGAATCATGACAATCGAACGGCATTGCATATGCATGTCACCGGCTCTAAACAGCTGATCGCCTGCTAGTTGGCTGCTCCCACTCATATGTGAAAGCATTGGTGAAAATAGCGCTGGTACCAACGATAAAAGCGTTTCACATCATACGTACCGTACGTACAAAGTCATAGCACACTTTCACGTACGTGATATCCCACTATGACTTTGGGAGTGTGCTATGATTTTTATAAACCTAACACGTGATCGTTCTAGGCCAATGAAAATACAGTATTCAAGACGGAGGAATAACAATCTAGGGTGGCATGGGTAGCGCATTGCGTAAAGCACTCGCCTCTCACCGGTGTGGCCCGGGTTGGATTCCCAGCTTGGGTCATGTATGAGTAGAGTTGTTCGTAGAATATATTTTGTGCCAAGAGGGGTTCTTCTCTGGGTTCTCCGGTTTTCCTCCCCGACGCAAAATTAACACTATCAATCTGGCTGTGCTCCGTGGTCATACATGGGTCGTATGGCGGCTGCCGAAGGCGTCTATACACACCTTCGGCTCGAGCACGTTGTAGCCGTGTCCTTCACAATTCAGCTTCTGCTGCTAGTAAGGACGATTAGCCACCCCCCCCCCCAAAAATTGTTTATTCATTTATTTTATATAATTCATCAGAAACACTCATTGCCTTTGTGACATTTCTGACAAAGTTCAACTTTTTGTAAGTGATATCATGAACATTCCATGTAAAGAGCAATAAAATATCAACTTTTAACATACAAATAAACACAGCATGGAATTCTTTTTAGCAAATATACAGTTTACAGAATTGCTTTGCTGTTGTTCCATTTTGTTGCTTGTATCTTGTGTTTATTTTGCTTGATGATGCCTACCTGCATAGGACAGGCAAATCAGCTGTGAACGCTCGGCTTGCCCAGAGCTTGAATGCAGTAACCCAGGCCGAGCACAGGATGCATGCTGCCCTGAATGTCAGGACTGTGAGTATGACAGACGCTACTTCCGCAATGGCCAGGAGTTTCTCAACCCACTCAATCAGTGTGAACAGTGTCAGTGTCTGGTAAGTGCATGAGTAATTGAACACCTTGTTCGCACTGGACTAAACTAGGGAAAGTTTACTTGGATGATGGTAACTTTAAATGGCATAAGTCTTACTGCAGTTAACAGGACGGATTTACTAGGGAAATCGTAAGGGATCTTTCCAAATTGCACATATATTGAAATTTGTGTAAACAACATCCAGTTATAATCTCTTCTGTTAGCGAATAGGTCTCTCTCAAATGATGTAATTTTCTACAGATCAGCCATATACATCGGCATTTTGAGTGCTAACTTGCATAACAGGCATCGCATGCGTCGTATTTCGAACATTTTCAACACTGTGCAATGCGTGCTTGATTGCGTAAAATACGCAGTTGCAGTTCTCCTACAGAGATGGCCGTCTTTGAGAGAGACCTATAGTGTACTGGAAATAACACTAATGAAATGTCCACCAATATCAATCAATTTTGCCATAAATATCTGTCATGGTTTTAGTCCCTCTAAATACATTGCATACATTCGATGTCATGTCCAAAACGTCATCAATGAACAAGGGAGGCAGTTCAATTACTGTAAACTTTGTTTACAGTAATTATTATGTGACACTTCACATTGGTGGCCATACAATACTAGTACAATGTAAAATTAATTGTCATTTGAAAAAGACAAAAAATATGCAAAGCAGTGGAAAACCTGGTTACAAATTAGTAACAGTTAAGAAAAATTATTCATAGCATAGGTCATATGCATGCAAATTGTGCTTACATAGTTTGATCTTACAAATTGTTAACACATTTGTATTATGCTTTTTGAACTTAGCCCATAATTGAATGATTTCAGCATGATATTCTTTTGTGTATGAATATGTCTTTTGACATTGCCTGAATGCCTGTATGTTATTGTCTGTAGGACAAAATTAAACATATCAGGCTTTGCATGGTGAACTTCTGTAGTCTTGTTGATTGTTATGCCTAGTAATGAATCAGTTTTGAGATACAGCAGTTTGTAAATAGAAATCAGGTTTTTTTGGATGTGATCATTCGGGCCCCGAAACTAAGAACAACCACTCATTTGTGTTTCAGTGAGAATACTGTGTATTAATTCCCAAAGTGAATGAGTTCAGCACTGTACTTTTAATCATATTTGGTACATTTGTTGGGAGACGTGCATTTATTTTAAAATTTATATCTTTGTCCGAACTCTGTATCATTATCATTAGATAATGGCAGGCTTTCAAGTATTCCTACATTTCCTACTTATTCCTAGTTTTTTTTACCTTGCTCCTACTTTTCCTACTTTTTTCTTGAAACTCATACTTTTTCCCGCTATTTTGTCCCCAACTCTGAAAAATGAAATCTTGTTGAATACTTTTCATGACAGTGTTACACACTGTCATATGTCAATCCCACAATGAAGGGCTTGGGTGCAGGACACTGCAACTGTACTTCCAAGATCTTAACATTTGAGCATGGAGCACAAGTGTTGTGAGTACAGAAAATGCCATATGAGGCTTATGATGCTGTGGACATGGGTGAGCATCAATGAAAACTACTCCTAAAAGCCTGCAAACATCCTACTAATATCCTGATTTTGTCCTCCAAAGTTCTACTTTTCCTGCTTTTTTTCACCTGGGTCTGCTTGAAAGCCTGTAATGGGCAATTCCAGTATTTTGAAAGGAAGTGTAATGTCCGTGACTGAGCCAATGAACCATGATATCTAATTAATGATTCGGAAAAATGATCCAAAACTCATAGTCAGCAATCTCCTTGACCATTAGATGATGGATGTATAAGATTTGAAAAAAAATACATACTCAGCTTCATTCACTAGGTTCTGAAAAGCTCTGTCATGGACGTTGGAATTGCCCCAAAGTGCAATAAAGTGTTGACACACAATTAATGCAGGACTTGTATCATAAGAAAATTCCGACAGTTTTGGAAGGGAGATAATTTCTATGGGTATTAATGAATACTGAACTGCAATTATATTGGCTCAAATTATAGAATCTCTTCTGTAACGAAATACAAAAGAAAGCAATGAGCATGTTCAGTACCAGTTGTTTGAAGACCCAAACTTGCTTCCAGTTTGCTGTTCATTGACCATGTGATGTGTAAATGGTAAATTATCAGTAGAAAAAAATTTGTTGTGGATTGATTTCACTTTTATTTATGCATATTTACATTTATGTGATTTTTTTTTGTCACTGAATAGTGCCCAAAGTATGTACCAGTATTTGGAAGCTATTGATACCATTGCCTCATTTCTGGATACCCTCCCACATCATATAGCAGCTTTTCTGAATATATTCTGTAAAGACTAAAGTCCTGTGTTTTAATTTGATCAATTGTTGATTTATCATTAGAATGGCAACATCAACTGTGAGCCTATTGAGTGTCCTGCAATACCCTGCCCCAATCCTGTCACTCTGTCTGGGGAATGCTGTCCACAGTGTCTAGGTAAGACTACCATCAATCTCTGGTCTTGGTTGACTGACTTCAAATCACAGTGTGTTCATGTGTTCCTTTCAGAATTTTCCACCTGCAGTGTAAACCTCTTCATAAAAGGGCCAGTGGAAATAGAATTTATTTATGCAATCCTTCAAAATGCACCTTTGTGTCCCATTTAACTGTATTCTCAATCTACACGTTCAAGGTTGTTTTGGTGCCGTTTTGGGATTTTATGGAAATGCAAACTTCCACATTCATCTGCAAAACTGTGATGTCATTCGAGGCAAAAACTTCAATGCTTCAGCTGCTTCAGCACCAAATGGTGCCAGAAGTTTGGATTTTTGGCTGTGGTAAAAATGGACATTTTCTGCATTTGGTGACTCATTGGTGTTTCATGGCACGGCAGTAAGTCAGCAGTAAGCCTTAATGCACAAACGTTTCTAGTAATCAAATTTTGCAGCTAACCATTTGAACAGAACACCCCATAACTAAAGAGTGTGTGCCTTAAATCGCATCCAAGCAAAGCGCCCTCAGTTGTCAGGAAAAGCATGAAACATTTAATGTCAAGGAAAAAAGTGCACATGACATAAATTTAACTGAAAAACTAAAAGGGATGTCTCGTAGTTTTCATACATTTTAGTGGAATGAAAATTTGCACAAATTATGTTTCAGGATAATATTCAAGTCATGGCCCTTTAAACTACAAGTTCATTATTTGTATTTCCTGTTATCATGTCTAAAGTCCATAAAAGTACATAAAAGTTTGTTGCTGTGGTTACTTTGTACATTGGACTTTGTGTAGTAACGTTTGCGTAGATAAGTTGTTTTCCTAAGCTTTTATATACCTGCATAAAGTTAGTGTTCAAGTCCTCAAGATGAGTTCAGGCAACTGTTTGATATTGCAACCAGTCCTACCCAACATGAACCTATGAGGTTGGGATGATTATTGCGATTTTACACAGATCATTTCCGTTTGTGTTTCATTCCAGATTGTGAACACCAGGGCAATACATACCGCGATGGTGAATCTTTCAAAGATCCAAGCAATGAATGCATTGACTGTCTATGTCAGCAGGGCCGTGTACAATGTGACTATACCTACTGCCCACCAGTCAGTTGTGACTATCCAATCAGGAGGGATTGTTGTCAATCATGTGATGGTGAGTAGTCCACTTGGTTCCTCAAATTTAACCATTACTTTGTTTTACTGAAGATGAACAGAGTATACTGTTGAAAATGTCGAAACCTTACACTCACCACCAGCTTGCTTCCTTACAAAAGAGATTTGTCCATGGTGTACAGACACATCTATTTCCCTACTTACTACTCCACACAAAGCTTTTTTTTTCAAATAATACTAAAATGCAGTTCAAGTTTGGTTTAACTTACTGATTTCCAGGTAGTTGATGCGATGAAAGCACTAACACCAATAAGAGAGCCAAAAAATTGTGCATGTGTTTTCTCAAATTGTAAAGCCTCCACTGAGCTTAAACTTCAACGGGTTAATTGTTATGAAGCCTCGCTACGATTGTGAGCAATTTTGTTGTTTCAAATGGGGAACAAAATGCACAGAAGGCAACTGATCCTACATGCCTCGAAATGATTCTGAAGCCAAAAGATGAAGCCAGAGCTAAATTAGGCTTTAAAACCCCATAAACATTATACCTGGTTGAAGTGAAGTATTTTCTAGAAATAACTGTTTTCAGGTAACCATCGAGTGTGCAAGTCTTGCCAGTGTACATTCACTTTTTATGTGAATGTCTTGATACTGACTTGTCTAGTCAGAGACTCCCATGCATGTTTGAATATACCCAATTGTTATCTGCGTGATCGATCCAACTGAAGTTAAGGTCAACATTTTTCATGTTACTATAGTCATGAATTTGCAATATTTTTTACATGCTGTAAATTGTAATTCTTTCTTTTCTTTCACCGAACCCAATGTTGCCTTTGACTAGATAAGCCCAGTCAGGACACAAAATAAATGCAAAAAAATAGGACGTTATTACACACATTGTAGATCCTATACATGGTGCCCGGATGCACTGTATTCCCATGAAATCTTGCAGGGTGTTTTGATGTCAACTTGCACGCTGTATATTGACTCATCTTGCATAACTATTGTACCCTTGCATTATCCCCTTGTATTCTGTCTTCAGGATGCCTGTATGGCTCAGTGGAGTTACAGAGTGGTGAACCTTTCAAGGATCCCAACAACCCATGCATTGAGTGTACATGCCTGGTGAGTAGCTATCTTCTCCGTTAGTCCTAGTGTCATCATGCCATATTTTGTAACAATATTTTATGTACCCTTTTTGACTGGTGAAATGTGAACCTGTGTTCACAGGAATGGAGTGCCCATCTCTCTTTCAAAGCGATTTGGCTAGAATCGAGTCCATGAAATGCTGCTGTGGGGGAATATGCCACACCTCCTCCACAGCGAGTCTGTTACCTTCCCAGCATTGATAATCCCAGTACCCATTTAACACTTGGGTTGAGAGGAGTAATTGAAATAAAGCTCAAGGGCACAACACGCATGGCCAAAGCGGGGCTCAAACCCACAATTTCACGATCATGAATCCTGTGCCCTACTGCTAGACCACACGTTCCCACAAATCAAAAGAGCTTTTTTTAAAAAAAAGTTTTGATGCAAATCAAACCATGTGGCCATGCTTTGTACTCAACTAATGCATGTATTTCTTCTGTCAAACTGTTCATATTCAATGACAAAGTCTATTTATTAATGTTGTCAGTTTATTAGTCAGAAGTGTGTTTGGCTAACACTACAAATATCAAAGTTCATCAGACATAGAAACGTTATGAATTCTTAACTGATAGCACCTTTTTGAAAATATAGTACCTCTCATATCAATAAAATAAGTGTTAAGTAATATGGCACTTATTACTTGTTTCTCTTGCTAAATCGTAAGTGGCTCAGTTTGAGTTGGTTTGCTTTATCATAAATAAACATGGCACTCCAGAAAAAGATAATAATAATAATAAAATAATAAAGAGCATTTATAATGCACCAAATCCATCTTGATTAGATGTTCAAGACGCAGAGAATCAAACAAATAAACATGAACAGCAAAAACAGAAGGCAACAAAAGTACACACAAATGAAAATACTGTACATGAAGATGAATCAATATACATGAGAGTGAAATCAAAACTGGACGATTAATGAAATGCTGCTTGGAATAGGTGGGTCTATAATGTGATTGCAAGATAATAATATTACATGCAAATTGTATAATACTGCATGTACTACAAATTTTCAAACACAGAAATTACCGAAACAAAAATAACTTAACATTCAATTTTAGTCATAATGCCCCAATATGAGGGTAAGTCACTTTGGCAATGTTTGAATTATGTTACATCAATTCAATTCTATTCAAATACTTTATTTATCCTTAATAAGGCAATTGCATATGGTTGGACAGCTCATTTAATGCACTTAGTAAATTACAAGTCGAGTAAATATATATAACATAAAACAATCACAAAGAACATGTCCTTATCTTGATTAAAATTGGTGTAAAAACTCATCTTATCTAAAAAGAAATATATCTAATACTGTATATAGAACAAGGGCGGATCCAGAACATAATTTTTGGGGGGGGCCAAAAAAAATTTTGGTCCCCCCAAAAAGTGGGTCTAAAAAATTACGGCGTGGGGTTCGGGGCCCGCTAGGGCCCCGAAAAATTTTTGGATTCTAGATGCTCTGTGGTGCGATCTGAGGCAATTTCTGACCACTTTAACCAATTTTTTTGAGGAAAAGATGGTGGTGTACTCATTGCCTGCCTTTATTGCGATGTCACATTAAAAAAAAAAAAAATTGGTTTCGTTTTGGGGGGGGCCATGGCCCCCTTTGGCCCCCCCCTGGATCCGCCCTTGATATAGAAATAATTAGATGATGAATGTACACATGATGACATAAAATGTCAGCATTAAATGAAACTGTTGGCCATTTCAACTTGAATATAAATGAGTATAAAACATGCAAAAAAAAAAAATACTTAATACATGTATCTAATGTCCGTCACACTAGATGCAAGATTTTGCACTGAGCACATGATGGCCACATCTTAAATAATGTGTCAATATAAAAATATTTACAGTAGGGCATGATTCACCCATTTGAGAAATGCCCGAGTGTAGTTTTGAACAGTAGGCACTTTTAAATTCTAGTTTTGATACACAAGAGCAGATTGCAAAAGGAGCCGTTGCTCTTTCCCAGTTTTTGCTTGCAAATATAAAAAGGGGCACCCTAATGGATATTTCCAAAATTTTCTTAAATCATGTCCTCAAAGCAGTGTTTTTTTCAATATCTTAAAGACATGTTTGTGAAACAGATTCCTTGTAGTGCCACGAACCTCAAAATAGTCCGTCCCCCAAAGAACAATTTCGGCAAAAGATTTCGAGCAACATTTTTTTTAAAAGGCAAACTTCTTAAAACAAAATTTGAAAAAAACAAAACAATTGTGAGTCCCCCTCCCCCAAGCCAAATCCTGGGTGCGCCACTGATTCTAGGGTATTGATGTCCATAGAAGGGTAAACAGAATAATGAAACATCGCTTTTATTGATAATGTAATCATTCGATCCTTAATTCAACGACCGATGGGCAAAAAAAAAAAAAGCGAGTTGTTCAGACATATATGTAACTTGGTTGAGCAGGGCAAGAACATGTCATGATGATTATAAACCATCTTTTTATTCTTTGCCTCATGAACCATAAAAGAAGTGTAATAATAAACAGTAGTATCAGTAAAATTGGCCATCCCTGATATTGTGCAGGTTCTTGCTTCTCAACACCTTTGTCGGACTCTTTGGTTTTAACATCTGCATTAAAAAAAAGAAATTGGATCATGAGCACTGTTGATTGGAAGTAGTAAATAAGTCCTACGCAAATTCTACGCTTCAATTATTTGATGCATATCACACCTATTTAATCTGTAATGAGCATTAAATTTATAGAATTGACACCAGTGTTGTAGTTGAGTCACCAATGTCGAGTCCGAGTCTCAAGCCTCGAGTCTGAGTCTCGAGTCTCAAGCCTCGAGTCTGAGTCTCGAGTCACAAGCCTCGAGTCCGAGTCTCCAGTCACAAGCCTCGAGTCCGAGTCCCAGTCACAAGTCACTTGTTCTTAGTTGTTCACCAAACTAATCACATTTTTACCCCTCAGCCGAGAGGCTCGAGGGGTATTGTCATCGCCTAGGGCATCCGTCCGTCCGTCCGTCCGTCCGCCGGCTTTCCGTAGGGACGGACGGGCAGCTTAGTTTCCGGATGATAACTTGAGTTAGAAATGTTGTTTGGGGTTGTAACTTCCGTAGGGGGTTGCCCTTAGGAGTAGGCAAGTTGGGATTGGTTTTGAAGTCAAAAGGACAAAGGTCAAGGTCACTGTGGTGAGTTAAAGGTAAATGGTTTCCGGATGATAACTTGAGTTAGAAATGAAATTTTGGTGTCTATCTTTGGTAGGGGGTTGCCCTTGGGTACAGGCAAGTTAGGATTAGTTTTGGGGTCAAAAGGTCAAAGGTCAAGGTCATCGTGGTGAGTGAAAGGTAAATGGTTTCTGGATAATAACGTGTTAGAAATGAGATTTTGCTGTCTAACTTTGGTAGGAGGTTGCCCTTGGGAGTAGGCAAGTTGAGATTGGTTTTGGGGTCAAAGGTCAAGGTCACCCTGGTGAGTTTAAGGTAAATGGTTTCCGGATGATAACTTGAGTTAAAAATCACATTTTGCTCTAACTTCGGTAGGGGGCTGCCCTTTGGTACAGGCAAGTTGGGATTGGTTTTGGGGTCAAAAGGTCAAAGATCAAGGTCACCGTGGTGAGTTAAATATAAATGGTTTCTGGATGATAACTTGAGTTAGAAATCACATTTCGCTGTCTAACTTCGGTAGGGGGTTGCCCTTGGGTACAGGCAAGTTAGGATTGGTTTTGGGGTCAAAATGTCAAAGGTCAAGGTCAGCGTGGTGAGTTAAAGGTAAGTGGTTTCTGGATGATAACTTGAGTTAGAAAGGAAATTTTGGTGTCTTACTTCGGTTGGGGGTTTCCCATTGGTACAGGCATGTTGGGACTGGTTCTGGGGTCAAAGGTCAAATGTGAAGGTCACCATGTTGAGTTAAAGGTTAATGGTTTCCGGATGATAACGTGACTCTGGCTGAGGGGTTTCAACAGCAATGCTGTTATTTTAAAAAATTATTTTTCAATCATCTATTCTATCTTCCAAGTAAATCCCAGTGTATATAGTTTACCTTGTGTGCACATGTTGTTTAGACCCAAAATGTGTTTTCCTTTTAATTCCCATCCCTAAAAAACCTCCTCCATCCCTTCCTAGTATTAGTATTGCCAAGAATATTAATTGCACTATCGACTATTATAGACTATAGCATGCATTCGGTGTGCGCAGTTAGCAGACACTCTTTGGTACCGAACACTTTTTGGCATGACACCGGGCCCTGGTGCTCGTCGTGCAGGCGCAAGGCGTGCGTGCGAGGCCCCTGGATAAGATTTTCCTCGTTGACGTGTTTTGTCTATGGAGTAAAAACGCATGCTATGTTTGTTGCACAAATACGTAACTTTATGTTTTTTCTTTTGATGAAAATACGTGACTCGAGTCACGAGTCACCAAGCTTGAGTCAGAGTCGTCATGGTCGAGTCCGATTCATTTTCCAATGTGACTCGAGTCGAGTCCGAGTCACAAAAATTGTGACTCAAGTCCGACTCGAGTCTGAGTCCAGGACTCGAGTCCTACAACACTGATTGACACTGCATACATTCAGGCATGCAACTTTTCCTCGGATCAGCTGATTTCCTCTTTTTTTATTTTTCATGTGTGCCATTGAAAATAGAAAAACACTGTACAAAGTCTGGGAAAAATTTGAATTTCCTCTTTTTTTTGTGATTTCCCAGTTGCATGCCTGATACATCTTCTGTATGCGACATAAATGACATTTTGAAATGCATGTATGCCTGATTCATTACATCTCTGTTAAATTAAGCTCGAGAGGATTTTGTTATGTATCATTCACACAGTTCAAAGAGTACAATGTATTTTATGAAACCGATATCACATTGCAGTAGAAATACACTTATGATGCGTCACACTAATGAAACAGCATATCACAGCTGCGTTGTCTTCCATGGCCAAGAAACAGCATTAACATACATTGTAAGTTACATGTTTTGGGGGAAATCTGGTGATGGTGATTTTTAAATTCTTTGACACACAAATAACAACAGACTAAAAAACAATATGAAAAGAAATCTTGGCTAACCTTGGGATTGCTGCTTTGTCGTAAACTTAATCCCTGAAGTCGGTTCTACTTGGCCTTGATGCACCAACTTGTGAGACTCTGTAGTTTCATCTGCTATACAATTTGATTAGAAAATAACATATCTAATAAGTCTAAGTCTGATGGCTTAATGTTAACCAAGTTTGACAGCAAAATATTTCAAACACCACCAAAAAAGGGTTGGTATTCAAATAGCACAGGTCTTTAACAAAGATGATTCTTCTAGCCTGAGAACTTTGATGAGACAACCATTGGCTCTGTGCACAAGTACCCCCCTCAATGGTAAGAAGGGAGAGTTGGGGAGACTGGCTGAAGAGACATTTAAGCGCATTGCCAACGACACCTGACGCTCACACGATTCGATGGCTTTGTGCACATTGTGTTGGTGCTTTCGACAGTGGTAAATAAGTGCCCTCTCTACAGCCATGTGGTTGCGAAAGGCGATTTCTAAAGGTTACATAACACTTTATTTTGTGTGAAACTACATGTACACAGACATGTTCACACAGGCAGGCAAAATCTTTGAAAATTAATTTCTCCCGTTTGGAAGACCGTATCGTCAAGCATCTTTCAGGGTTTATTTCCCTTATAATGATCCAATTATGTGCTAAAATCGTTGTGATATGTTCATTACTTTTTGTTGAAATTGGAAAAATAGGCAGGTGTTGGAGCAGTTTTGAAAGTTGTAACACTAGCGTTTGCAATATCTGTCAATTTTTCAAGCCTCACAAATATTAGTAAGGTTAGGGTGTGTAGTAAAAATTTGCATAAAAGCCTCCTTCACGAGTTATTAATTGATTAATATCACCCTTTTTTGCCGGCTTCCATTGGTCGATACCGAGACCAACGCCAAGTCACGCCGAGTGACGCTAATGAATATGTTAATATGCGATCGTCCATTGTGTTGCCGGGCCAAAATCGGTCAACCATAGCGCCTACAGCACTATAGAATCTGTTGCTGAAAACCATACACGTGGTTTGGTAGGAAAAAAATCCTTGTCAAATTTTCCTTAGAGATATTTCAAGGTGTAACACTAGCGTTTGTAACAACAGATTAACTCTTTTGTTACGGAATTTAATTGACCTTTTTCGTCCCAACTGGACGTAATTAAAAGCTGAAAATTCCGCCCAGCGTTGATGGGCGCCGCCATCTTTAAATGTATCTCCGTAAACAAACTGCTCACAATAACCAAAAGCGCACCTAGGGTCAAACTAGGGTCAGAGGTTATACGATATAAATTATGTAGATATGGTCCACGTCATGGAGATACCCTGTTTATTCATAGCGACGCAACCGAGCCGCTGCCAGCGGCTCTCCGTACGACCTGTACAATTTGTATGTGCCACTGTCAGCGGCTCGCCGTAGCGAAAGAGTTAAGCTGAAATTTGGAATATACTTAGATGATATAGATGTTCAACTACCCGTGAAATAACAACTTGATTAGATTCCCAGAAATTGTGATAAATACATACATTTTGGGAAGTTTTCGAACGATTTCTTCCCAACTTGAAGGTCAGCTTTACCAGTAACCAGTATTGACGTTTCAGCATCGATGACGGCGATTTTTTCACTGACATGAAGTTAAGAATTTCTTCTTCCGTTATAATTTAACATTTCAATCATACTGGGCATATTTTCTGGGAAACACAACGTTCAAAAGGCCATGTCTTTTGGGGTGCATAAATTTCACTGCTCTGTTATAGCGTCTAGTACGTAATCGGATTAGCTTTGTTTGACAACCGGCCACGCTTCGCCTTCGCAACCATTTGGCTGTCTAGTTCGTGCACAGAGCCCATAGCTAAATGCAACCTCGGTGTTAGAATTGTAATTATTTAATGGAAAAGATACATGTCTGTTTTAATTTTTGCAAAGGATTTTAGGAATGTCTGGATCAAAAAACTAGCAATACATACCAGTGTGAGGCCGTACAGTGGTAGAGTGGGAAGACTCATATTGAGGGGGAGGTGTGATGTGGATACGTTGCCAGAACTTTTGTGACATGCTTGGATTCCAAAGCTGACAATCCATTGCGTCTGCTGGTTGGAGTGTAACTTCAAAATCCATATGGTACTTGGAGTTAATCTTTGTTGGTGCCAGTCCAGGCAACTTTTGATTCTTCAGATAGCACACTGGTAATGTTCTGCATCCTTCTTCGAAGATGCAGTGAGAGTTGTAGACAAACGGTGTGGAAGTCGTGTTGAGAGTGCATGAGAACTCCTCATTTTCTATGCATACATCAATAATGCAGGATTTACTTGCGAACTCGGAACTGTTTAATGCAGATGTGGCTCTACACTCCAGATTTACTGACTGGATCCTTTCAAACGCAGTATCGTTAATCATGGCATAATATTTTCCAGAAATATTATGCAGCGTTTTCAGAAATAGATTTTCTGAAGGCTGGACTTGGACCCCATGTTTGAGAAATGACAAGTCAATGTTTGCATTGTCTGGTTCAGTGTAAGAACACCATTGAACTTGTGGCTTATCGCCAATATGAATGATTTTTGACCTACAATTTGGCTTTTCAATTGAAGCAGAAAGCCTCAACAAAGCCCCCAAAATCAGAGCACAAATCGTGTAAAAGTACAAAGCCATTTTTATCTAGTGTACACAGCCAAAATATAGAATAATGGCGTACCGCGCATGTCAGGCTTGTACACGTACGTGTGCATGTGACCAAAAAAAAAAAAAAATCTTCCAAAGTGGATTTAATTTTGTCCCTGTGTGAGAAGTATAGAGGATAAATATGCAAAGACGTGAACTGCATAAATTTGATACAATTTTAGTTACACTTTGTATAACCAAAGATCAATTCAAAGGTCATCTGGCAATTTTCGTACGAGGATTAATCATGGCTAAGCGAATGAGTGGCAACAAAGATTAGTCCCGCTAACTTCAAAATCTTGAAAAATAAGTTATTGATAAGTTCACTAATAGAATGTACTTAGATTACAAACTCTGAACTGTTGAATAATGGCTCATGCAGGAAAGAGAAAGTTTTGTGAAAGTATTTTTTTTGGGGGGGGGAACTTTTAATAGTAAAAAAACAACAACATATATTTACCCCTTCGCTGTACTGGTATCTGCTTTGTCCGTCCGTGTCAGTGCATTCGTACATATGGTTCCTTATCAATAGGGCAGCTAAGGGACAATACAAATCTGTCCCATAAGGAATTTAACTTGATGGAGTTTGAGATTTCAATAGAAACAAAGGAGAACAAAAGAATGGAACTAAACGTTCCCCCTTCCCCACAAGTATGTATGTAAAGACACGTGCCTGCCGTGTGTGTGCGCACGTGTGGGTGCGTGTACATGTCCTTACATATACATGTATTGTCATATGGGGTACCAGGAAAGGGGTGTGTGTGTGCATGCATGCGTGTGTCACACTCTTGGTTTCATAGTGATAACTCAAGTTAGACTTGATGTAAACATGGTAAATGCATGTCATGAAAGCTTAAAGAGTTTGTACATCACAAGACAAAGGCCAAGGTCACTATGGTTAAAACAGTAGAACGTTTTTTTCCGACGTACATGTTACTCAAGAAAGACTTGTCACATCAACTTAAAACTTAGTATGTGGGTTAGTCTGGGGATCACCAGGAAGCTTGTCACTTTTGAATCGACCCCATAAACCAATTAAGGTTGTTATGATAAAAACAAAAAAATGGTGCCATTTTCTTTTTCCGTGGATTTGGCACCCCTCAACCTTAAAATTGCATTGATCATGACATTTGGATACAAAACTTGAACAATATTTATTTACTGTATTTGTATAATGCATGTGTACATAAATGTAGTAATAAGCTGTTTGGGCAAGTCAGCCGAAACAGCTTTTCTTTTCGTTAAGATTTTTTTGGCTTTCCGCAATCTGTTTCAAACACTTTCTGAAACAGCTTTTGCTTTTGTTAAGATTTTTTTCTTCTTTTTGTCTCTGTCCTTTTCATACTCCTGTCCATAGCATTTGTACACGATTTTCTTCCGGCACTTTGGGCACTTTAGTGATGCCGATTGACTTCAAACTTGGCAGAGACATCAATTATTTACCGTAGATGTATGCCAAAATTGATGTCATCATGACGTCATCACGTGTCATGTGACATCATATTAAGGGTGCACTTTTCTAAGGCCTACATGTGGGTCTTAGTCACGAGTTGGCCATTTTTGTCCAGTGCCCTGAATGTATTTCATTAATTTTAACTGTTAAATGGGATGGCCCCAGACTATTTATTCAGGCACAAAGCAGTTTAATTTTCCTGTCATTTTTTTTTTAATATGGCTTTAAACATTAGGGAATGATTAATTACAAATTTTATAATTATTTATTGAGGCAGAGTGGAATTGATTATAAAATTAATTTGCTTTCATTTCTCTTCGCAAATTCAAAAGAATTAAGATTTTACCTAACTTTCAATTAAATATGGCGGACTCGTAAATAAGGCTCAGAGGTCAGATTTGGTTGTAACTGGGTATGTAGCTAGACTGGGTTGTGTTATAAATGAAAATTAAAAGGATGTCATGATAGGACTACCCTTGTAAATCAAGGTGGGAAAACAATAACATTACTTTTGCGTGGTTTGTTTTTTCTTCAGGCTGGCAATGTTCAGTGTAATATGAGAGAGTGCCCCCCACTCCCTGAGAATTGTGAACAATTCTACACACCAGATGGTGAATGCTGTCCAATATGTACTGCCATCAAAGGTAGGTTCTTTATGGTGAGTCAAAAACCCAACCAAATCCCCAAAAATAAATTTCATATTTAAAAAAACTTGTAGCACCAAACAATAATGACTGAAGAGCCAATTCGGACGATTCACAATGCAGTGCACCGCCATGAGTTTGCCACGGAAAGTTCATTTTTCCCAGTGCATTGTGGGAAATGGTCTACAAATTCGCAGCGTGGGACATTTGAAATCGTTAGTTTTTCCGGTTCGTAAGCATATTATTCGAGGATCTGTTTGCCCTTTTCTTTTCTTCTTATCACTATGGTGTTTTTTGTAAGGCGGCAGAATGCTATGCCCCAATCTATAACAAATTAGCTCAAGATGTCTACTGACACTCGTTCAAATGGGCCATGTTTTGTCGACTGTAAACTTGAAAAATGGACTCTCCATGGCAAACTCTTGGTGGTGCACTGCATTGTGACCCTACGTGAATTCACAAGTGACACTCTGTGAATTTATAAGTGAGAGTCCGTGAATTCACAAGTGACAGTCCGTGAATTCACAAGTGACAGTATGTGAATTCACAAGTGACAGTCCGTGAATTCACAAGTGACAGTCCGTGAATTCACAAGTGACAGTCAGAGGACTGGGGACTAGCAAAAGTGTACATGCTAAGTGCTGTAACTACTAGAAATCTAAACATGCGTACAAGCGTGGAACTTTGGGACAGTTAAAGTAGGCCTGCTTGAAAAGTTAAAGATAAAAAATTGGACAACTATTAAAAAGTAGACCCATATCAAATTTGGACTGGGTCTTTCAACACCTGATACCCCTTCCCACCCCCACTGTGAGCCTGAACTTTACAGGCAGCTGTTTTTGTTTACATGTTGTAAGATATGGTGTGAGTTAGTCAGTGTACGTTATTTGTATTTGTAGAGAAGTCCTGCATCTACGGTGACGTTGAGTATCAGAGCGGGGAGACCTTCCTCAATCCCATCAACCCTTGCGAGGAGTGCCTGTGTAAAGACAAGAAAGTCAGCTGCCAACGCCGTGAGTGCCCCGCCCAGGGTTCATGCCAACACCCATATGAGGGAGACTGCTGTCCTGTATGTGATGGTAAGAATTAGGATAGCAGCGTCTCTTACAATGCCACACCCAAGGGATTTGGTTGCACTCCTGTGAAAGGTCTGGTGCCTTGTATGGTGACTTCAATTGCGCTGTCCTGGAGAATGCCATGCCCTTTGGGCATGGCGTCACTTCTATGAAAGGGATGGTCTCTTGTATAGTGATGTGCATCTGGTCGGGTTGACGAGGCTAAACCGACCCGACACATCTATTTTATAAACCGAATCCATACCAAAACAGAACTGGACTACCTAAAACCGACCCGACTACCTAAAACCGACCCATTAAAGTGGAACTGGGTCACACTTTAATGGGTTTCTACGGGGTTCGGCTGTAGATTTTGAATGTTCTACCTAGGTATATCCTCACCAGGGTTGACTATTACATATTAATGTAGAAGCCGTGTTGGATTCTTGCTAGTGTGAAAGGGGTTCCCAAAATCTCCATGTTTGTTCCGGGTAAACCACAGAGATTTTGGATATTGTGAAAGGCCCTATAAATACAACTCATGTAGGAAAGTGTTGATTTGTTCTTACAGACTGCACGTATTTGGGTTTGCATTACTCCAACGGTGCAACGTTTGCTGATCCAGACCAGGAATGTGGTCAGTGTCACTGTGAGGTGAGTTGAATCTGTTTGTTAAGTGTATTTAAAGCCATATAGGATCATTTACTTTCATGCATTTTTTTTATGTTTCCAATAATAACACCACTCAGAATCCCAAGAAGAATGTTCAAAACCTAACCTGTTGAACTTTCAGTGGATAATACTTTTTTCAAGAAAACGGTGAAAAACCATGCACAACCTTTTGATCACAAAACATGATTTCGTCCATAGCACTGGCTTATTTCCAAAAATCAGTCAGTAGACTGATCATTGGAAATCACCAACATTTCGTATGTTGAGTCTGTATGTCATAAGCCTTGTGTAGTGAGTCTTGTAAATACTAATTGTCAATCTTCCCCACATGATTCCCTGCAAGTAGAGCTTATTCTGAACTGCTAACAGAAGCTTTTTCGATAATTTGAATTAGTGGTCCTGTGGACTATGAATAAATTCTACTCTCTAAGACAATATCAGGATGCACCATTCGGGAACATCGTGACCCCTGTGATGAAAATGTGAATGTAAAGTGTGTTCAGGAATGTTTCACTTTGTAAAAACGCACCCATGAATGTGCATATGGTTAGCCTTAGTATATAGCACTCTCCAAACTTCAACAGTTTCTCCTTGAAACAAATATTAATTTATTAAAAACTCATAAACTGGTCCTTTCCGCACCTAGTAAGTAACATGATAATTCTTTCATTCATGATGGAGGGAATGTGGATTAGTGGTGTGACTCATGACCAGAGGGTCAGGGGTTCAAATCCAGCTGCTGGTTATGTGTTGTATGCTTAGGCAAGCCACTTCGCCCTCCCCCAATAAAACTTACGGGGTGGGGGGGGAGTAACCTGCAAATGATCCATGGGGGATAGAATATATTCTCAGTCATGCCACTGAAACCAGACATAAATTCCACTATATTGGTTTGTGACAGACTAGGCTTCACTACTTTACTTACTTGTTACTCCTTCAGGATGGCAATGTGCGCTGCGGACCGCTGCCATGCACTCCAGTATTCTGTGTGAAGAAGTACATACCAGAAGGGGAATGTTGTGAAGTCTGCCCAGGTAAGACATACACACTTGATAGTTGGGAGTAGGAATCCATAGATGAATTCATTGCTATTGAACCAGCAACAGGGTCTGCTTTACATTGCTTAGCATCCTCTCAAACTCTCTAACAGCGACGGGCGTAAATCCGGCGGGAGGAAGGGGGTTTACATCCCCCCCCCCACTTTTAGACCAGGCGGATGGGCTATTGAATCATCTCCCCCCCCCCTCATATTGATAAACATCTATACCCTAGTGTAATGTGGTGTCCAGCCCCCCCCCCCCTTTTTGAATTTCCAAAGCCGGCAATTTTTGGATTTTGATCATCCCCCCACTTGCCGGCACAGATTTACGCCCTGAACAGTGATTACTTGCTTCTTTCTTCTTGAGTCTATAGTCAGGAATCTTGTACATATGATAAAAAAGTGGAAAAAATGTTTGTAATGTGTAATGACTGTTCTTGTACTGCATACCAAAACTTTGCTCTGGGAAACGAGAAGAATTAAAAGTTGCAATCCAATGAACCTCATGCTTCAGAACTCTGTACAAAACTGCTTTAACACAGTATCTGTCAAATGTTCCATTTCCAGAGGCAGACTGTGAGATTGATGGCCGGACCTACCTCCACGGCCAGTCATTCCAAAATCCCAGGGATCCCTGCCAGCAATGTGAATGCAACAATGGGGTTCCCAGATGTGCGCCCATACCATGTGACCCGATAGAATGCCCTCATCCAATCAGAGAGCAGTGCTGCCAAACCTGCAACGGTGAGAAAAAATAAAAGTCTCTCTCTAAAATTCAAAGCCTAATTTCTATGGCTGTTCTTATCATAACATTAAGAAACTTTGCTAACTATTGGTAGAAAGTCCATACAAATGATGACTGTATTTCATGGGTTGGAAGGGAACTTTAGCTTGTGTACATGCATACATGCTATGAGGGACCTGTGCTTGCGGCATTTTCAAGAAATTTCTGTACTTTAAAGGGAATTTACATCATTGGCTTTTGCTGTAATTTTCAGAAATGAACTATTTGAGGGGTTAGTATAATAGATCAAATATTGTTTCACTGACATGTTTGAAGTTTTGTGTTCAAAAATGCTGGAAAAACCAAGAAAAACAAAAATGTTCAAGTAGTCTGGCTCCCTGACTCCACTAAAGATGAAATGGATCAATTTATAGATGCTGGAAAATTGTAAGGTAAGGGAACCAGTCTAGCTGGTCTGCACCCGTTCATGACGTGTAACCAATTGCAAACAAAATTTAGACTGAAAAAAATGGTAAATTTGGAGCAGTAGTTAAAAAATAGTTAGGTTTTTCCAACGGTGGTCGGCCGACCACTGTTGGAAATTTATACAAAATACCACTTTTCTTGAAAATGACTTCACACCAGGTGCCATAATTTCACAGGATGCTTTAGACTGTCATTTATCAACATCCTAGTAAGGTATTTCGTAAATATTTGATAGTTTAGTTTTTCGACGTTTGCAAATGTTGTATATTCCCTTTAAGCACCAAATGGTGATCATAAGCACATAATTCTCAGTAAAAACTTCATTATAAAGTTACAAGCTATTCATTACAAAATGATTGCATACAATAAATAAATTAGTAACTTATTTATTCCACAAAGAACAAAAGAATAAAAAAGAAAACAGGCTATTTATGAAGAACTTAAGAATAGATAATTTTTTGTAGATTAGTCAAGTCTTAGCTGTCCTAAAATGCTAGGAGTTTTGATCACAGGTGTTTGACCATTGCTCATTTCAGGATGTACTTATAATGGGTTGGACTACAGAAACGGTGAAACATTTGATGATCCTGAAGTCACCTGTCAGCAATGCCGATGTCAGGTAATGTTTTTATATTTTAATTCTTAAGCTCTTTAAGGAGTTTCTACATGTCACTTGGTGGTCGGTCTGTCTGTCTGTCTGCCCTCAAGAATTGACCAAAAATATTTGACCAAACGTAATTGACTAATTGACTACATGACATGCCGTGGTCATAAAATGCATTCTTGACCAAAGTTTTCGTAACACGGGTTTTGTTTCGGTCGATGCGCATCCTCATTATACCATAGCAGGTCACAAATCGTCGGGTGCCTGGAAGAAGATCGTAAGGGCGAAAAATGGGTCAAAAGGTCAAATTCGTTTTTTTTTCGGGTAATCGATTAAGCTTGGAAATATCTTTCATATGATATACATGTTGTCTCAAGGGGCTATGTCATTGTGACGTAATTAACAGTAAACAAAAGAGGGAAGGAGGTGTTTCATTATTTTTGCCCGGTAAAAGGTCGTAAGCGTGCAATGATAATGTAACGAAAAATGTTCCAAGTTTGTTCCCGGCAAAAGGACCTTAGGATTTAACACCCCGCTTAAGTGCACGTTTAATGCAGGGCGACTTCAAGTTTAAGGCAGATGGAGTTCCCGGTAAAGGGCATAAGCAGAAAAATTTAAATAACTTCATAATTAAGTAAACTTTTGAAATAAAAATGCACATTATGATTTTAATTATTAACGACTTTCATGAACCCAAATTTCAGCCTGATGCGATTTTTCATTTAGAAATGGGAGTACAAAACCTTTCAACTCGATTATCTCCAAAAGTGCTTTATGTGAGCCCGGACTGCTATTGTCCTTTTCCTTGGCACACGATGATTTGATGTCCACTACACCAGCCTACCTCTCTTTGTCACTGTGGTTGGGGCGGGGCTGGGGTGGGGGGTGGGTTCCTTGTTCATGAGGTCCATGGAATATTACCTTTTCCCCCCTCAGTTTGGTTATGTTGAGTGTACAGCCCAACCCTGCCAGCAGCCTCTGTGTAAGTTCCCAGTCAAGCCGTCCGGTGAGTGCTGTCCTGTCTGTGATGATTGCTCCTATCTGGGGAGATTCTACAGGAATCGAGAGACTTTCTCTGATCCTGATGATCCATGCCGTGAATGTACATGTGTGGTGAGCAGCATCTTGATAGTTCTCTTCTTTTGAGTATTAAAAATGTGTCCTTAATCGACATATTGTTTACATAGGTAATAAAGGGCAAGACCAACATTTAAACATCTTCCTTTCCAATGTAACATCCCATTAAAGGTAGAGTAGATCATTTGCAGCTATCCAAAAAAAGTAACTGACAAAATTGTTGTTGAAAATCTTACTTGGTTTAAAGATAGTAATGGCACTAAACTCCTGCTAAATTGTTCTTTCTGGCATGCTGTCATTTTGAAGAAATCAATATTCAAGAAGGCCATTTCCAAAGATGTGTCAAGTGGCACATTTTTGGAAATTTCCGTTAGTGGAACTTTGCTTTGTAAAAATGCTGCGAATCCGTGAATGGGCGCGCGCAAGCATTGACAGGACGCACATGTGCGCGCGGTTGCTATTTGTCAGTTCAGTGCGTGACATCTTGTAGCTGCAATTGGCTGAATGAGAACATGATGTCCCGGACACTGATTTGGGGCGCAATTCAAAACATGACTTGGCAACTTTTGAATTGAAATGAGATCCTAATGTAGTGTTTTCTTGGAATATTCAGCATTCACGGAGCTAAAACTTATCAGGTTAATTATGTAACAAATTCTTTAGATTTTGAGCAATTTTGTTACTTCAAACGTCTACTTACCTTTATTGAAGTTCAAAAATTGTGAAGTTAGAACATCAGTTTAAATGAAAACTTACACGTACACCAATTTCAAATTCCTGTTGATTATGGAAGTAATATTTGGCATAGACTGCTATAGTCTGTATTGTCATTGTATGAACACCTTTTTTTGTTTTATTAAATCCTGTTGTATATAGAGCCTTTCTGATTGTCAATCGAACATTGGCTTTGACCAATTAGATCATGACTTCTGGTCAAGTGACCATGACAGCACAGTCAAACTCGATCACAAGCACTGTGAAAAAACGTATACAAATCAGGCAAGCTCCATCATAAGTGACGTCAGTGCATAGTATACTCAACGTCAACAATTTCAATTCTTGTTCTTGTTTGTATAGGACGGCGATATAACCTGCGACCCAGTTCAGTGTCGGGATGTGTCTTGCCCTAACCCAAGACAGGATGAATGTGGCTGCCCAGCTTGTGATGGTCAGTAGCTCTCTTCTTGCTTACTGGCTCTATTTACATCAGAATGTTCACTTCCTTCAAGAAAAGCATGACTAAAAGTCAGAATTCTAATGTAAAATGCACACAACGAAGATAAACGTTCGAAGGAGCACAAAAACCTACATATTTCAAGGTGCAAGCAATACAATGCTGTTTTTTGTTGGTCTGCACATATCACATGACAAGTTGACCTCAGCAAAAGGTGACACAGTTAAAGCAGCAGACGCTACGTCATCTTACTCCCCCCTACTCTGTGTACTGTTACCATGTAGGGCTGTACAGTGCGTTCCGAAATACCTGCAAATTTTTTTGCGAGGCTATAGCATTGGCGCTATTTTAAAGCATGGAATCAGAACTTTGTCCCTGGCGAGTATTGGTTTGATTTTTAAAAGATTTTTAAAATTATTCGTGTTCAAATACAGGCATGTGGAAAACAGACTTAACCGATTTCAAGGAAAATTAATGATGCGGTACATCAGATGCAAACTCGAGTCACACTTTGAGCACGCTTTTTGAATAGGTACATACTTGCACGTGAATTTCAAAATAGAACTTGAAACGAAGAACAATATTGTGAATTCATTTAAGGTGTAGCATACTTGTGTCGAAAAGAATAGGAAACACAGAGAGTAAAAGGCAAGGAGATCGTCACATCATGAACATGATGAAGCGTTTCCACATTAGAAAAAATGCGCGTGATTGAAATGTGTTGAGTTTGTTTTGACATGCCTGTATTTGAACACGAATTATTTCAAAACTTAGCAGGGATAAAATTAACATTCCAAGCTATAAAATGATATAAAAATAATGACAGTACGTGTTTCCGTGGCAACACTAGAACCCCACCAAAAAAATGTATTTTGGGACGCGCTGTACTTTGACATTTTGTTTTTATGAGTCCACAAGCTACTTAATTTTGCTTTTTGTAAAAAGGCTTATAAAATTATTCTCCACCTTCAAGGAAGCTTGTTATGTGCCACAATGTTGCTTAAGACAGAATATTGTTATTAGGCCAAAAAAAAAAGTCTCTGGTTTCTGGTATGCGCACGCGTCGCCGTAGCCATGCGCGTCAGCAAAATGAAAAAGTTTTTTTTTCAATGAAAGATGATGTTTCAAAACCGCCAAACTCACTGGTTTGACTGGAATCCTGCTGCTGCACAATTTTAACGTGTTTTTAGATTGGGTTATGGTCAAGAATAAGCTTTATGTGGCCTCTCTGGGCTCCCATATATTTGCACTAAGTTTAGTCGGGCACCATTTGCAGTCATCAGCCGACATTTGAAGCAAAAAAATCTGGTAAAAAAAAAAAGTGGTCGCTGCACTACTTTTTGGGCAAGCTCCATACCAGAAACCGGAGAGTTTTTTTTTTTGGCCTTATCTTCATAATTTCGTTTCTATCTACATGTAGTATGACTCGCTGTGTTTCTGGTTTCAGGCTGCATTGTTGATGGTGCAGAGTACATGGATGGCTCACAGTTTCCGGACAGTAACGATCCATGCCGAGGATGCACGTGTAGGGTAAGAAAATGGACAGGGATTGGAATGCAATTTCAGTAAAAGTGTAGATTATGGCCCCATTTTCATATTCAAAGTCATTTTCAAAGGTAATTTTTTAATGGAACCAGTAAAAAACAAAGGTGTCCTAAACTAAACTCTTACCTAAATTTCAGTGCTGTTGGTTGGAGTGTGGTTTACTTTTTAATATCAGAGATAGTTTGGGACTGGTTACTTGAACAGTGAATGCCAGCTAAGGCATCCATCTTGGTTTTGTGAAGTCTGCACAGCAGAAGCCTACTTACATTGTTTTAGTATTGATTGTTGCTTGGGGTTGTTGACACAGATACTAATGTATTGTTCCATTGAAGACCCTTGATTCTCACCTTGGAAGGGAGATGTACATGTATGTCCTTCACCAGGATGCAATTTCATTCATCTGATGGGCAGAAAATATTGCTTTTTTACCACCATCGAGAGCCCTATGGATGGAACATACTGCGTGCTCGTACTGGTTCATGGGCGTACTGGTCCATGGGCTCTGTTTACAAGTACCCCCTCAGCGGTAAGAAAGGAATAGTTGGGGGAGACCACTGGGAGAATCACTTTAATGCATTGTACATGATGCCTGATGCTCACACAGATTGTTTATTGTGAATGTGCACAAAAACCCCAAAGTGCCTTGCGTGAGTGTCGGGCGTCAGCAATGCTTCAATATACCTCCCAGTGGTATCCCCCAACTCTCCTTTTCTTACCGTTGAGGGGGTACTTGTGCACGGAGCACATAGGCTGGTCCATGAAAATGGAACTTTATAATTGTATTTATAACACCTCATCCACAGATTCTGTGTCTTGATTGGCCGAGAGCGAGTCACATGTTACTTTCTAATTTTGCTATCTTTCTGTGCATGGCCAAAAGTACTATACCATTAGCAACCAAAGTACTATTTCCACGGCGCGGTATTTGTGTGCAAATGGATGCTGGTGTGCGCGTTGCGCATAGCGTGTATTGTTCCAAAGAGAGCGCGCCTCAGACTTGGGTTCAAACATTTCATGAAGGGGTAGTTTGGAAGAGAGAAATACATTTTCCACCAATTTTGTATTGAAATTGAAGTTTATTTCAACTGTGTTCAGATTTAAATAATTTAAAATATTATAACCAAGCAGAATCTGTGGGTGAAGTGTTATAAAACAAATATCGAATGCTTCGAGTGGTGTAGTAAAACTAGCCTCCCTCGGTGATCCATGGAGCATTCTATTTTCCCTCGGCTTCGCCTCGGGAAAATAGAATGTCCATGGATCACCTCGGGAGGCTAGTTTTACTACACCACTCGAAGCATTCGATATTTGTATAATATGCTATGCAATAATAAGCAGAGCACAAGTCAATAGTCATGTATCACGTGACATTGTTGCTAGTAATCTGTTCTGTACTTTGCACAATTCTGTGTTAAATAGCTAGAACAAATTGGCTTCTAGTAGGTTTTCTTTTAACCTAAGGGGGTGATTTACAAAGGGGAATTCAACTTGATGTCTAATAATCAACAACCTCCCCATTGTAACTGACGTTTAATTTTGAGTGATTTTCAATTGTAATGTGTTTTATTTCCGTTGACAGCGTGGTCACGTTGAGTGCCAGCGACATGAATGTCCGCCACCTCGCTGCTTGAACCCAATCACTCTATCCGACTACTGTTGCCCTGTGTGTGATGGCTGTTTCTATGACAACAATCCCTATGACAACGGCCAGTCCTTCCCAGACACTGTGGACACATGCCGCGTCTGCACTTGTTTGGTATTGTAGCATATTTTCGTGGCTCAGTTTTGTTTAGAAAGGGGCTCAGTTTTATTCAAAATAACGAGTCGATGGCACAATGCTCCACTTCCTTAATGGTTTTAGTAATCACATCTTCAGATCAAGAAATACACTGTATTATCATGGAACTGATTTCTGATTTACCGTTTTAATTGTACACAACACTATACTTTTACTTGGGGGGGGGGGGAACCTAATCGTCGTTACTTGTAGCAGAAGCTGACTTGCGAAGGACGTAGCTACAACATGATCTATTACTGAAGACATGTGAAGGTGCAATAGGCAGCAGCCATATGACCCATGTCATACCATGGAGCAAAGCCATTTTTGCTGAAGGAGAAAACTGGAAAACCTGTAGAAAAACCCTTGGTACAGGAGAGAATCAAACGAACTACTCTGCGCACAAAAGAACCGAGCCGGGAATTGAACCCAGGCTACAGCAGTGAGAGGTGACCACTTTATGCACTGCACCACCCATGCCTTGATCACGTCAAAACTGCGTCCTTTTTCAATTCAGCTACACACAAGATCTGCCCAGCAACTGCTCACAACAGCAATTTCCACTCAAGTGCGCTGGCGTCACGCTGACCCCGGCCTCCTCTGTACTATCTTTGAAGTTTAATGTGCTTCTTAAAAGTATTATCAGCTATAAACCTTTATTACTATTAATACGAAATTAATATACAGACGAAATTACAGTTTTAGGGGTGGGAGGAAAAGCCCAGAAGAACATTCTGGGGAAAACCCACGGAATCAGGTAGGGACTGAAAACCCAATCCACGAATCACAGACAGTTAGTGTAGCATTCGTTGTAAACTGAACCCCGTTCTCAAATGGCATACTGTATTTTTAGTAACTTTTCATCAGTGAATTTGTTGGTGTCCTTGAATAATCACAGTCCTATTGAATGATTGTTTGACTGTTGCAGAATGGTAATGTCAACTGTGCCCCGTCGCCATGCCAACCCGTATCTTGCACTCATGGCATGCCAGATGAGTGCCTATGTCCGTCATGTGATGGTAAGTTAGTCATTTCAGACAACTTCCAGACAAACAATAAAAATGCAGGAAAAACAAAGATATTATAGGATCTTTTATATAATTATTTTTCTTCTTTTAAATTCCTCTCCTTTCAATTTACTCTCTGAATTTGACGTCATTGTGGCTTTTATATTATAGGATTCAATGTGTAAGATGTTTACAGATATTCAAAGTAAGCCTCACATCCTCTTTATAATCTCCTTTTGAATTTGAGTTGTAAACACTTTCTGAAATAAACCCAAGCAAGAGAAAATCGTTAATAATAAAACCAACAGTTTTGCAAAGAAAAACAACATTTTCAGTTGTCTTGAGAGAAGTTATGACTTTCAAGTATTTTGAATACAAATAAACGGGCCAAATACTGAACCTTTTAAAAAAAATTCTCTTGGAGTTTAAAGACTTGCATAATGATTTCAGTCCTCTGTTTTATAGCGTTCTTGAGTAGGATTTGTGAATATGTGTTTTTACAATGAATGTTTTTGTGTATAAATATTCGTCTGTTTGCTAGGATGTATGTATGAGGATGTCATGGTCAGGAATGGAGAGAGTTTCATGGATCCAACCAACATGTGCAGAGATTGCTACTGTCTGGTAAGGGTCAAATGAGCAACCATGCCAGTCAAAGACACTTTTAAGCTATTAGTCACTGTACTGCCCCAAACTGCCCGAGCACTGTGTGGTTTTATAGACTCATCAGGGAATAAATACAATGTAATACAATGTGGTAGAGGTACTTATGAGTTAAAAACATTGTTATATCATGTCTTGGATTCTGTAATTTCATTGGTCTAGAACGGCCACGGGCCCATATAGATTACCTCATATACACTGTATTGAATGTAAATTACCTCTGTGTTGCACGCACGTGTAGGGTTCGGCCCGAGCACCTCATGACTGAGACCTGTAACCACTCAGTCTCATGTCCGGCAGGAGTCTGTCGTTATCAAGGGTTACACCGCACTGATTTCCTTTATTTCTTCATAGTAAGCTACAAACCTCTATCTTGTTTTTGAGTTATTGGCACGGTATAACAAAGCAATAAGCCAGTTTGGTATTTCAATGACCAGAGGTCATTCGGGATAACATCGCTGACGTGAAGTTATGCAATGTTACGCCCACGCCCATTCTGCTGGTAATTTACACGTAAGCGTCATGCGCCCGCGTCCATGCGCCTTCGAAACATTTGATTATCCCAAATGACCTGTGACCCATATCATTGTGCACATGCGCAGTTGAAATACCGGACTGGCTTATTTTTGACTGCTGTGCTGTGGGATATGGTATTTTTAACCCCTCGGGGCGCATATCGCCCTTCAGTGCTATGCGTTCCTTGGGGTTTAAAAAAGCCATATTCCACAGCACAGCAGTCAACGTTACTTTTTTTCTGTTGCACGGTTGGTAAACAGAATCCCTCGTTTGAGGTATTTGTGAGCTAAGCATAAAGTGGGGGAAAAAGTAAAAGTCTACTTCACTCTACTTACCTGTAGAGCAACACTACTTATGCATATTCCCCCTACCGGCAGGTATTTTCGCTAAGAGTTATATACAATAGCGCCCTCTGGCGCCCTACCCATAACACCCCGCGGCATGCGTGCCTCGTGAGCGTCCTCTTTTCTCTTAGCGGCAGGTCGGGTAGGACGTGCGTGAAATAGCTCGCTGTTTGCCTCGTCATTTACTACCCTTTTTTGCGTTTAAGAGAAGTATTTAATAAAAGAGTTAATAAAACAACAGTTTGTAGAGTTTCTCATCATCTTCTTGGTTGTATTTATTTGATTATTTTGCAGCGTTTGGGGAGAACCGATCTGTCACAAACCGGGGGGAATTCCTCTCCCACGGGACGGACCGAGTTCTCGGGGGACTCTGCCGTTAACGCTACGTCGTTACCGCGGCAGCAGTCTCTCGTCCGGCATCCTCAGCCACAGTCGGCTGGGGGAGTTGGCAGTTCCGCCGATCGGTTAAGGGGACCTCGGTCACCTTCTCCGGTCAACTCAGGCGGAACACCCAAACTAAAGGCACACTCCGGCAAGGTTCCTCCAAAACATATCTCCTGTGCCGGAGCAAAGCCTAAGAAGGGCCGTCAGGGCAAGCGTGGCTCGGCAACGAGCGCCGCTGTGTCACCTGGCCCTCCCCCGATCACGGGGCAGCCCGAGGGGACTAGCCGTCACGCTTCGGTGGGCTCTAGTCACCCGTATCCTCCCGACACAGTGCTGAACACCACTGGTTGTCGGGATGGGCTATTACACGGGCTACCGGTCCGTCCAGCGCTCACTCAGCCCACGGGGCCTGAGGCGCTGTCGGCCTCCCGACACAGTGCCGAACACCACTGGTTGTCGGGATGGGCTATTGCACGGGCTACCGGTCCGTTCAGCGCTCGCTCAGCCCACGAGGCCTGAGGCGCTGTCGGCCGGGTGCATTATGAGCGATACGGAGCCGGTCGCCCGGGGGGATCCCGGGCTGACGGCCTCCGTGCTAGCTCGCTCAGAGGGGCTACTCTCATCATCGGATTTTTTCCGTTGTTCGGGGGTCCCGGTGTCCCAGGTGTCTTCCGATTTTCCTCGGACACACCTCGGGGCCGTTCTTCTAAGAACAAGAATAAGAAGAAGAAGGCTGCACGTCGATCGCGACGTTCTTCTCCGGGTTCTGACGACTCCTCTGACCGGTCCCGCCGGGGCAAACGCTCCCGGGGAGGACGCGGTTTCTAGAGCAGATTTCCTGCAGGCTTTTCAGTCGATTTCCGATACGCTATCGGCTATGTCGGCAGGCCGCCGGGCGGGCCCTATTGGGGGGCCCCCTGCAGCGGTGGACTACGGCCCACAACCGTCGGCCGTTGGGCCCGCATCGCAGTCTTCAGTCACCGGTCACGCTTGGGTGACCCGTGTACAAAGGGACTTACCGCACAGTTAGCCGTGCTCCTGGAGTCTTTATCTGCAGTGAATGCTTCATAGTCGTCATTCATTGGTCACGATTGCGTGGCCCAAGCGCAACGAGGTACATGTACAAAAATGAAAAAAAACAAACACATGTTCATACATGTACATGTATACCACACATGGTTGCGCGCTATACCGGAAGCCCGGCCTACGGCGAACGGGACTTCACATTGGTTCGGAGACAACGGGACCTACCGCACACAGTTAGCCGTGCGCCAGGATTCCCGCTTGTGTTTAGTCTTCTCCATCTGCATAATATTAGGTATATTATCTCCGAGGGTGTTGCCCAGCCACCACCGCGTGGTTCTGTACAACTAGCCCCTCCAGACGGCTCTCAGTCATCGGGGTCATTTTGGCCTTCGCATTCGGCTGATTCATCCGATAATGACGGAGAATCAGACCGGTTACAATGGCTGTCCATCGCGGAAACGAAATTCCGTTTGCTGCAGAGGGACATTACACGGGTACTTAAGTCATGTAAGTTACCCTCCGCCGATGAGCCCCCTCCGCCCGATCACAAAAATGTTCAAATCAAGCGCAGGACGGGCTCCGAATCTAACAAGGACAAGGTGTTCCCCATACCTCCGTTGGATCAAATGTGAAACACATCGACAGCGGACAAAGTGGTGTCCATTTCTCAGGCGGGAACGTCTTTATTATTTTTCTAATCCGGGCGAGTTTATTGCACCGATCCCACCGCGGCATACGCTACCGGGATGAGGACTCGGTTTTCGGCCCACTCATTACAAGCCTTGCAATTGTTCTCGGCTTTATTATCGGTCATACATGTACAATGTACACTGTATACGTTTTATACACGTACATGTACAATGTATTGCCAGGCGGGCACGTTAATGAAACGTCCGTCTTCGTTCAGTTGCGAGCCGTGAACTCTGTAGCCCTCTACATTAATCACGGTTGGGTGACTCAAGGACAATGGGACACGCCGCGCTGTGCTTAGCCGTGCGGCGGTGTTTCTTGCTGTACTGAGATCGCTACATTTTTCATGTACATTGTACATGTGTGCATTACTTGTGTATGTACACTGTCCTTTGTCTCCGAGGGAGTTGTTCAACAGCTGACTGTGGCCGTGTGCAACTCGTCCCTTCAGAGGTGTTTTACGGTTCTCGCTTACGGGGTCTATTCGACTCTTGCAGGCATGTTGTGGACCACATTCGAAAGATTGTGCCTGTATTCAAACTGCCTGCTGCTCTTCAAGCAATTATGTGATCATTACCGTTTTCCGTTAGCGAAATTCGGTATTTTTTTTGTTTGTTGTTGTCACATCTTCCCTCTTCAATGCAGCTTGCATACACTTTGCAGTAGAATAATAAAGTGGGTTCGGCGATACGCGTTCAGCCTCCCTCTTTACCCTCATGAAGTACATTAGGTTTAATGTTTTAATCTTGACTCGACAGTCTTAGCGGACGTGTTGACCGCTATTTTCATTATTAATCTCACAGTCTGCACTCAGTACTCTATAATTTTACACGAGTGCAGACCCTAGCAATCTTGGCCCGCCGAGGTAACATGATTGATGAACTGTTTCTCCCGTCAAAGGGCGCCCGCCAAAGATTCGAGTCCCACCTTTTAAATTTTTAACAGACAAAGATCTTTTCTTTTGCGGTGGATATCGATGTTTACACAACAATGTACATCCATATTGGTCGATGTCGACTACATGTGGGCCAGCGCAGGTGAAGAACAAACACTTGTTTGTTTTCTCAACTGCATACCTCTTGAAGTTGGCCCAGATGATTTTGTGGGGCCCCATGTCACATAGGATAATGTAACAACGATTTCGATTCGGCTTCAGTTGTTTTGATGATTTCCATAAGTGACCTACCTGACTCATGACGACCTCCACCCATCTGTCTCGTAGGAGCTCGTCAGAGAGACTTTGAGGCTGACATCAATAACATCGGGCCAGCACAGTGTTGCGCCCGTCTTGTATTTCCCTTGGAAAGATGTTGATGAGATTTAGTCGACTGTCTAACACATCAGCATGGGGAATGAGCCTTGGCCTGAAGGGTACACAACTGCAACTCATTTTCAGGCCAGAGCACTGAGAATTTCACGTTGTTCAAACCAAGATTCTCGCTGCAACTTCATGGTGGCTCCATCCAGCCTTTTTTCCGCCTCACTCCTGGCCTCTGCTCAGATAGTAAAGGCGATATGACTGCGCCGTGGAAACAAAGATTGGTGGCATTCACCTATTTGCTTGTATCGGCCCAGTCCTCACTGCATTCAGTGCAGGCCATGACCTGACTTGTGCAGTACCTCCTGTGGTTCGGCGTTGCCAACCTCACAAGGGTGGGCCTCTCACAGATTGCAGCCTAATTCATTAACTGTCATGGCGAACATGTTACCCTGCCAGTTAACTGCCCACCACACGCATCTAGTGGCGGATTGGTGAGGCCCTGTGTGTATGGAACGCCAAAGAGGCATTTAATGTGATCATCGAATCGGTGATGGACTTTTGCAATCGGTGATGCATATTCACGATCGGTGATGGACTTTCGCGATCGGTGATGGACTTTTACTGGTGATGCATATTCACGATCGGTGATGGGCTTTCTCGATCGGTGATGGACTTTTACTGGTGATGCATATTCACGATCGGTGATGGACTTTCGCAATCGGTGATGGACTTTTACTGGT